TGCTATATTTGTGGTGAGCTCAATCTGACTTCTCACCTCATCTCACATAAGAGGAAAGAAGGCAAAAATTAAAGAAGAAAAAAAGATGATCTCCATTCTGCTACTGGTTCCTTATCCAACAAAACTTCCTTGCTCCCAGTTCTCAGCACGGCACCAAAATGATGTAATGCTGTGTTTCAGTGGATTCATTTATTTACATTCACCCAGCTTTTGATATAATCCATGAATTGGCAGAGATCGACCAGCACCTCACCTGCTTTTTCATTACTTGAAACTAATCAAAACACTGCATATTTATGTGGACCAAAACTAATTCACCTTTTAATCCTTTCCCTCAGTCCAAATCTCCCATTCCAGAGCCAGACCTTAACACAGAAACAGAAATACCCAAGCTGCTCATTATCAGCATGCTAAAAAAGTTCTCATTTTTAAATTTTCCTAGATCAGTGTGAAAATAATCTACAATACAAGGAAAAACTGCAACATACACACAGCTATTTCTACAGAACAGCTCGTGTTCTCAAATTATATCTTCTATAGAATTTGAGAAAGCTTTTTACCTTTAAAAAGATATAAAAATATTTTAAAAATTAACTAAAGACCATATATGAGATTAATTTTATTTTGTTCACGCTTTACTCATATCTATAGCATCAACTGCCTTAACACAGCTCTGAAAAATATGAAGAAAAAACACCATTCTACATCATGCAAGAAAAAAAAACAAACTATAAACAAACTTACTGGAGCTGCTGGTGCATGGGCAGAGCAATCTGTGGAGGGACATTGATGAACCTTTCACTGAGGATAAGCCCCACAGGCTTTGTGCTGTCGTTCAGGAGTTTACTCAGCTGTTCCACCACACGCTGCTCACAGCTCTGCTCACAGCGACTCACGAGCAGCTCTTTGATTTGCTCAGCACATTGGGTGCCCTGCAATCAAAAGGTGCATTTTCTTTACCTGATATAACAACTATTTACACAAGAAAACCTTGAATGACAGCTTCAGGAGAACTTCCTACAGGCCTGGTGGCAATTTCCCTCAGCAGCCTCTAGAGAACTGCACAATTGCTTTGAAATCATTCTCCAGCCCTAAAGCTGAGGGCAAACAAAGGTTGTGAAGTGATGGGAACAAGGAACTGCAACAGCACAGCAAAACTCCAAACTGCAGAAGATCAAAGGGAAGAAGTACAAGAGACTGACAGCTCACTTACCCTGGAATAACTATGCCCATCTTTAACTCTCTGTTCCATTCTTTGCTTCATATTTGACCCTCAGCAAGTTACTGCAGTCAGAAAAAGCTAAGCCACTTCAAATTTTATAACCCCAGTCCTCCACAGTGGAATTCCAAATCCCAGTCCAGCTGTCCAGGCTTGTCACACAAGATGCACTCTCATTTATTACTGATGCTAATATTTATAACCAGATGTTACTGAGGATTACCAACCTTCCTTTCCGTTAAGTTCAAGCAGCTTATAAAACCAAATACTTCATCATCATCTTCTTCATCATCACTACTGTCTTCCTGCACTTCTGCTTGCTGTTGAATGAAAGGAAAAGCAACAACTCATATTGACATTCTATTTCCACTCTGTAGCAAAAGATGTTTTTCTTTCCAGGTGATATCAGAAGATGAAAACCATTGAGGAAATCTGTACAAACACAGACAGCAAATTCTGCTGCATCACTGAACATCTCAGTGTGCTCAGAGCTTTAGAGAGAGCCAGGTCGTGCATCTTCTACAGCAGAGTCCTCTGAAAGGCACTAAAGGTTGAGAGCTCTCGTTTACTAAGCAGCATCTCAGCCCAGGGGATGGCAATATCTTAAGCAAAACCAATTTCCTTCAGTTTCTAACACAGGGAAGTAAACCTGGAATGTCTTGACAACCACAGAGCAATGAAGCTTTGATAGGGAGGGAGACAAAGAGCTGTGTCTTTGTAGGAAAGTCATAAGCTCCCATTTCTTATGGAGATGGTAACAAACCTCTCCACTGCATTCTCAGCATTACTACACTGAAATTCAGGGAGTGAAAAGCCTTCCTTGTAAAAACACTATAACAAATTCCTTCTTTGCTTGAAAGTAGGTACGGAAAATTACAGTTCCCATAGAAAAATTATTCTTAAAGATGAAAAAGCAAGAAAGCACACAAGTAACACAGACAGGATCCCTTTCTGAAATACAGAAATCATTTCATCAAAGAAAGTATTGTACTTCAATTAGAAACATAATATCTGTCTTACCTTGATAATACTCCCAATGTGGTTCTGTTGTATTAATATATCAGTTAATTCAGCAGTGTTAACAGGAGCTTTTAGAAACAACTGGAAGACAGGAAACAAGTATTAAGTTTCAGGCACTGAGGGTATCTCATGGATCACTTAGTACAAAATAAAGTGAGCTTTTTATTTATCTTCCTTCATTATAATACTGCAAAAACTAACAATCAGCTGCTTGAGGTTCTTGCTCCTGCACCTTCCACATGCTGATATTTCCACATTGGTACCCTCTGGAGTTTGATATGATCTGAAAGCTGGGGCTATTCCACCCCTGGAAGTGTTCAAGGCCAGGCTGGATGGAGCTTGGAGCAATCTGGGATAGTGGAAGGTGTCCCTGCCCATGGCAGGGGCTTTAAGGATGGGCTTTAATATCCCTTCCAACCCAGGCAATTCTGTGATTATCTAACAAAAGGAAGCAAAGTAACATATAAAAGCTAGAAAACAATATAGAGAATGTGAACTGTTGTCTTTGCATAACTCCTTAGGTGTTTTTTATCAATGGACATATCAACCAAGTTAACAAGTAACCACAGTACCTGCTGTAGTAACTTCTTTATCCCGTTATAGTCATTGTCTGTTATGGAATGTGCTTCAAATTCAATATTCACTTCCTATGGAGTAAAACAGAGAATATCACACACACTTGGCAAGAAGTTACATATGAAGAAAGCTCAACTGTAAGAAACTTGGAGATAAGTAATGGCAAACAGCAGAAACACCTTGCAGTAATCCCAGCAATTGTTCATTTCTCCTGTGATCTTTAGAGAACATCTGTGCAGCTAACTTTTCAAATCTGACCCACCAATTGTGTCACAAACAAACCTTTAATGCTTTGCTCTGCCATTTGGTTTACAGAGTTACAGCTGTTGTAGCCACAGACTCTTCCTGCAGAGAGGTTTGATCCAGGCAGTTAAACTCTGGGAACTTCAGGACTGGGATGTAAAACCTCAGCTAAAGATTGCTGCAGACATTTAAGTAATTACATCCAAACCCACACTTCTGCTATTTCCCCAAACCCTCCTGGCATCATTAACCCCACTGTGAAACTCTGCAAATGCTGAGACCCAGGCACTGCAGCAGCCACGATGGGAACTGCTGCTTCTCCTTCCAGAACAAAAGCTGTGTGTCTACCAACATTTTTATTGTCATTCAGTATTAAAAGCCACACCTGCCAAGGTTACTCTGCCCACCTACTCCACTGTTCAAGATCATTTAAAGTTATTTTGCCTTTTAATTGCCAGTTTCAATTACACTTCCTGAGTAACCTCAACAACTCAGCCTTACTCTAGCCACCATTCAGCCTCATACTTTCTCCAATCCCTCATCGAGGTCATAGCCTTTGCTGCCCACTGGAAGAACAGCTTTAAAGACCTGTTTGTAATGTAGAAAACAGGCACACAATCCCTTGGGAGGCAGTAAAATTCAGGAGACAGTGGCACAGCTTGTCCCTGCATCCCTGGCAGTGCCCAAGGCCAGGCTGGACAGGGCTGGGAAAACCCTGGGACAGCGGGAGGTGTCCCTGCCCACGGCAGGAGTGGCACTGCATGGGCCTTAAGGTCCTTTCCAAACCAAACTATTCTGAGATTCTATAGTAAAAGGAAGCAAGGTAATATAATAATAAAACATGGCAGAATATAACAAAAGAGCTAATCCTCTGTGCTGACAGCACCATTTCCAAGCACTCCAGCCCCACACCTGAGCGGGCACGCCAAAGGCCGGGGCTGTACTGCTGAGGCCTCGGGGAGCCCAACACTTGAAAAACAGCTAAAAAAATTCAAAATTTTCAACAACAAGGCAGCGAACACACTTTGGATCGACGAGCCAGAGGGACGCGTTCCTTGCGCTCCCACAGGACACGCTCCAGTGCCCGCGGGGCCTCGTCGGGACACGGCAGGGACACAGCCCAGCCCGAATATCCCAAACATCCCCCGGCAATCCCCTGTGGGATCCGTGCAGGCTGTACCGAACATCCCCCGACAATCTGCTCTGGGAACTGTGCGAGCCCATCCCAAACATCCCCCGGCAATCCGCCGTGAGATCCATGCGGTCCCGTCCCGCACACCCCGAACATCCCCCGGCAATCCGCTGTGGGAGCCTTGCGGGCTGTCCCAAACATCCCGAACAACCCCCGACAATCCCCTGTGGGAGCCGTGCGGGCTGTCCCGAACATCCCCCGACAATCCCCTGTGAGATCCATGCGGTCCCGTCCCAAACATCCCCCGACAATCCCCTGTGGGATCCATGCGGTCCCGTCCCTGTCACCTCATCGATGGGCGACTCCGAGTCCGAGTCGGAGCAGGCCGAGCCCTCGGAGCCGCTGTCGGAGCCCTCGGAGCTGCCGCAGCCGCTGTTGGAGCCCTGCTCCCCGGCGGGGCCCCGCGCCCGCCGCTTGGCCGGCGTGGCCATGGCACGGCTCGGAGGAGAGGACGGTGTGGCCGGGACGCGGCGGGTCGCGGGATGTCGCCGAATGTCGCCACAGCGAGCGGCAGGCAGCGCCCGGAGAGCGCGGACGGGCCGCGGAGCCTGAGGAGGGAGGCGCGTCCCGTCCCCGCAATGCCGGATTTCCTCTTGGTGCTGTGGTGTCACTTCCTTACACAGGGAATTCCTGCCCCGGAATGGCTGTCGCGGGTTAAATCGCCCTGCCCTGGGAGGTTTTGGAGTCCCCATCCCTGCAGGAAAGGCCTGGAGGTGGCACTGGGGGCTCTGGGCTGGGGACACGGTGGGGATCGGGCACTGCTCGGGCTCGGTGATCCTGGAGGGTTTTTCCAGCCTCAGCCATCCTGAGATTCTGTTTGACAGAAATAAAGTGTGCTGAGCATCTCCGACATTAGCAAAAATTACTGTGAGTAAAAAGCAGCGTTAGTAAAAAGTGCCATTTAAAACAGGAATCAGGCGCCCGCTGCTTGCTCTAGAAATTGTGTCCCGGCTTCCACTGAAGCAAATTCCTGGATAATTCCAGACAAAGCGGCAGGAAAGGGTGATAGGGAGAGCACAGTAAGCACAATGTGATTCTGGTTTTTTGTGCAAAATACCAATCGGGAAAACGCGTTGAAATATCCTAAGCACTGAAGAAATGCTCATTAATGATCAAGCCTCCGCTATGTGGAACGTGTTCCATTTAACACTTTGTGTCTAATTAATGAAGAAAGGTGGGTGTTACATGGAGAGAAGAGCATTGAGCACTCGCTGTTTCCAGCCAGGAGAAATGCAAGGCACAGAGCCTTGGGATGGAATTCCAGCTTTATAAAACCCTTCAAGAGGGTTCCAATTTTCATGTTCCCTTGAAAGCATCAAACACATCTGTGTTTATTTTCTTATTTACATTACAGTGAGTATCACAGTAGTTTTAGTTAATAAGTTAAAAATGGTGATAAATGGGGATGTACAAGGCCTTTTAAGAGCTAATATGTTTAATTAAGAACGGACACGTAAATTATTTTTACTTTTAGCTTAATTACACACTCGGAACTTGCAATGTGGAATTTTCTATCTAATTACAAAAGTACCACTTTTAAACCTATGAAGAAGAAGATAAAGAAGAAAGAAACCTCTGTTCTAAAACAGGTTTATAATGGTGTAAGGTTTAGTTAACTAGACAAATTATTTAATTATGATTTAATTTTTTATTTTGGGTTTGGTTAAATTGTTTTGTAATTGTTGTATGCTTTTATGCATAGATGTATAGATTGGAGTTTTTTGTTTTGTTTTGTTTTTTGAAAGCTGTGTTTGCTCTGGGAGCAATTAGGTCATTGCCAAAATTTGAATACTGACATCCAGGGAAAGAATTTAGATAAAGATGAATTTTCCTATGTGTGTGATCTATGAGGAAAATGCCACACTGGTAACTGGGGTAAATGTACACTAAGAGAGTGGATTTTTGTTAGTGTTATTTGTGTACTTGCTTATGTTTTGTAACTTTGAATTTAGCACTTTGAAAGCTTGTAGGGAACTGAGAAGTATCATCTTCCATTTTCATGGCAGAATAGATGTTTTCAGCCCTGCCTTGTTTCCTAGAGTATCAGAAAAGGCATATGAATATTATATATGTTATTATAGCTGTATAAATGTGTGCATGTAGACACACATATTAAATTAAATCAATATCTTTGCATACTCATTTTGATGAGCAGAGGGTGAAAACCAGCATGGAAATTAATAGAATAAATAATTTTTTATAGATAGACAATGATTGAATTGCAGAACGTGGTGGCATTGTAGGGCCTGTTACTGCTTTTACAAAATATTCTTTCAAATATGTTCCCCTTGATGAGTTTCATTAGAGTCTCTTCCTTAAGCTGTGTTATCTAAAGGCAGCATATTTCTTATTTTCTGCCCTTATCAGAGTGGGTGTTCCTGCCTGGAGAATGCACAATAACTGCTTACTCATTGTGAAGGAGCAGTACAACTGGTAGCAACCCAGTTCTTGGAGCTGTTAAAGTCACTGCTCGAGTCAAAAAAGTCCTTTAGATCTAATTTAGATAAATTCCATTCTTGTATTTCAGCATTCTGCTTTGGTGAACAATGAAGGTTCTGCTGCTGAAGGATCCCAAAGACAAAGATTCAGGACCAGATCCATATATTAAAGTGAGTAAATGTTAAGAAAACTAAAAAAAAATGTGTCACTTCTTTATTAAATACGAATGCAACTGTTTCAAGTGGGAAAAGGGACTTCATCAATATTAGGAGTGCATGTCTGAAATTATGCTAAGAGAAAAATATCTTAGAAAATTTGCCTTTCCTGCAAAGAATTTTATTAATTGTGGGCCATTTGTACTGAATTCACTGTAAAGCTCTCAGCAAAGTACTGCTTCATTTGAATTCATTAATATTGATTATGCTCATACAGACAGAATAAAGATTACAGAAATTCTTTGTATTTTTACTGGAAATGTGATGTGAAATAGAAGTTATGTGTTGCTGGAGTCCCTCCTGCTACTGCCCTTGGTCATGTGAGTAAATCCCACTCATAAGAGCAAGAATTCCTCATCAAGGAGGATTATTTCTGTAGAAAAAACCAGTTGACAGAATTACAGAGATGTACAGGGACATTTGCAGGACTGGGTGGGCACCTGGGGACTTCAGAGTTATGTGCTGGAGTCTCCTGTAGCTCACAAGGCCACAGTCCCACAGCTGTTTATTTAACAAAATGTTGTAATATTAAATAATGAACAAATCCAAACTAGATTTACCAGGGAAAGGAAATAAAATGCTTTTTTATTTTGCTTTAGCAAAGATAAATGCTTGTGCTTTGCTTTGAAAGAGCAAAAATGCTGTTTGGAATTTGTTACAAGAGCTGCAAACCTTTTCTTGATAGGAATTAGGATCATACAGCTTGGAAGCAACGTTGATCCCAGTTTTGTCATTTGAATTCACCTCTCTTGACAGCTTATTTGAGAAGGTAAATTTGAAATTCTTTCAGTTGTCTTATTTCCAACAGGATTTGGTTGCCAGGATCCCATTTAATCATTCTCTGTGTGGTACCTCTTCTTGTGTTGCCACAAACCAGCTTTGTACATTAAAATTTCTTGTACAGCATCAAGGATCTTGTCCCTGCTTGTTAAAGAATTAAATTGGTCAAAGAGAATTCACATTTAAATTGTGTGACCATAAATTGTCACAAGTATTGGGGCATTTCAGGCAGTTATTGAAGCTCTTGTGTTTGTCACAAGGTTATAAATAATGGTTCAACTGATTTTTAAAATTAATTTACTAATTTTCTTTTTTTTTACTTCTTAAATTTACTGTTTCTAAATAGCTTTCCCATCCAGAGTGCTATGGAGGCCTAGTTTTTACAAGCCCAAGAGCATTAGAAGCCATCAAGAGAAGAGTAAAAAAGAAGGTAAGTATATCTTGATATTCTTTGGTCTTTTTCTTTCAGCATCTTGTGATATTTGGGTTTTACTGAATTTTATTTCACCCACCAGTAGATATTTGGAGCATGATTTTTAAAAAAAAACCCTGAATTTCACAGTTCTTTTAGCATCATAAAGGGCTCATGCTACATTGAGCTTTTAAGGGTTGTGTTTTCCACACTTACAAATGAAAGAAAAGAGCTTTTGGTGCAAATTACTGATTAGTGAGAGCTTTTCCAGCTCTGCTCCTCTCATGCAGGAGGAATATTTTGCTGCAGTGCCTGGTTTGCTCACTGACTGCTTTCCTCCCTTAAAGAGAAGATACCTCATAAGAACTGGCCATGACTTCTGTGCCTGTATAATTTGTATGAAATGCTGCAGGAAAAGGGAGTTCTCTGTCTTGAATAAGAAATTTCTCAAGTGAATTGATTATTAGCTAAGAAATGGTGAAGAAGTGCTGATACATAAAAGCCAACAGATCAGGAGTGAGGAAGAATCCTGCTAAATAGAAATATTCATCACAGTGAAATGTCAAATCCTTGTAAACTCTTCCAAATTCTTATGTTGGGTGATTCTGGCATGGAGTTTCTACTTTCTCTGCTCCATTTTTGGGCTGTGGATAAATCAATGTCCTGTGAGTAAGTTACACCCTTGAGTAAGCAGTAAATGCACTGAGACCCTCAGTTTATTGTAACATTTGCAGCACCAGAGGACAATATATTAAGATTTTAGGTCAAAAGTAATCACTTCTCTAAATTTCATCCCTAATCTTGATTAGGACTTTTGGAAAATACAAATTTTAATAACAAAAATGACTCTCTAGTTCCTATTCAGGTTCCTCTCAAAGGCAATAAATCCTTGTTTTTTTCCCTTCTGATTTTTATTTTTACTGTTATTGTTTGTATTTCTTTTTTCACCCCCCAGGACTCTCAGAAAAAAACTCAGTGTTCTGTGCTGCTTTTGTTAAAAGAAGACAGTAAAAAACTTGGTGTATCTATTTTTGATCCGTTAGGATTTGTACATCCTGAATGTGTAGTGCAACTTTATTAATTATTATCATTTTGCTGTATTTGTGGATTAAACAGAAGTCCAAGTAGTCATTTAGCATTCACATTCTATTGCCATGTGTTTAAATTTCATTTAATGTAGTATAATTTAATGTTTTTCAGCCTGGTCAAAATCTCTTAAACAAATGTGGAATATCAAACCAACATATGTGGTAGGAAAAGCTACAGCTTCTTTAGGTAAGCTGGGGTATAAAAAATGAAAAATTGGCTAAATCTGGCTTGTAAGTACAATTTTTGCAGGAGGACCTGCTGTTCAAGGGTGCTGAGAAAAAAAAAAAAGTTTTAGAACTGGATAATTTGGAAGAGTGGTAATTATATAAACATTAGAATTATCCATGCTCCAGCCAAGGATATCCATGGATTGAATCCAGTCTCTGGATTTCTGCTCCTTTTGTTGGAATGTGATGGTCATTGCTTGAAAAATTGGGTCAAAACAGGGAAAAAAAACCCCCTTTGTTCTTACTTTGAATGTGGTTTTGTCATTGTCTTTGGAAATAAAATTGGATGAAAGGGATTCTAACCTGGTTGAGATTGTGCACAAATTATTTGTGTGCTTGGCTCAAGCTGTGCCTCCCTTTCCATCCCAGGGTTCTGTGACAGGAAATCTGAATTGTTCTCATTGTTTCCCATGGTTTTTTCTTTTGGCTCTAGTGGAAGAAATTGGTCTTAATCCACAAGGAGAAAAGGCTGGAAATGCTGAGAAATTAGCTGAATATATTTGTTCAAGTAAGTGACTAAAATGTTGGAGTTAAATTAATGTAATGTCCCTTCTGTCATTTCAGAATTTCCTTCAGGTAAAAATCACAGTGAGGCAAAAATACTTCAAAATACATATCCAAGATATTAATTTACATGTAATCTTAGACCCTCTAGTTAATTAATAAATACTATATGAGCCAGCAGGAAAAGATTTATTTTTAGGGGAAGATCAGAGCTGTAATGATTGGAAATTGCTGCTAAATGAGAAGATTTAAATACTAGTGACTTCTCCCAAAATTACCCTGTGGTTTCAGAGGAATCTGGTTCTCAGCACCAAAGCTGAGGGGTTTTGAAGAAATTAAAGTGATAATTTAAGTCGTGTTTAACCATTTTGTTATGGTTAAATCTGTAATGCTTCTCAACCTATTATCAGATTATTGGGGGATTTTTAAAGTTTTTTTTTTTCTGACTTCCACTGATTTTACTCTAATTTGTTAAAATTTCCAGTAGCAATTAATAAGATTTTTAGACTTAAGGGCTGTTTATTTTTGAATGAATGGCTGAAAGCAGTGAAAAAAGAGTTTTTGTAAAGATGTGAGAGAGCTGCTGAGCAAAGTCTGCCCAGTAGCAGAGATTTATAGGGAAAAGAAAAACGGGATTGGAGCTGGCAAAATTGTTTTTGCTGGGCACAGTGCTCTCTGATTTACTGGCAAATAAAATACTTCAGTTCTAGGGAATATTTAATGTTAAAAATAAGAGTTGCCAACAAAAGATCAAATAATAAATTCTGAAAATTAAAATTACAACACTAATATGTCATAAGTGAAGAATAACCCATCTCCCCTCTTCAGGAGATGTACTAAAGCAAAGAAAGGTTTCAGATGATTTTTTAGTGCTGGAAAATCTACTCTGGCAATGAATTAATATTTGCCAGGGATTTTTTTTAGCAGAAAAACAAGAAATACCTGCTTATTGTGTTGTATGAAGGTGAAAAAAATTAACCAAGCAGTGAATTTCAGTCACTGGATCCTGTTTGTAGCTGAGACATAGAAATATCCTCCAGGATTTTTTGGAGAATGTCTGCTTGCATAAACCAGCAATCTCCTTTCAGCACTTAAAAGCATCTTTTCTCTAGTAATTGTCTCTTAAAAATGTATTAACAAATCTGAATTAGGAATAAAATAATTCAATTTCTTTGGAAAGCTGAATGCAAAGCTGTATCAATCTGTATAGAATTTCATCTTGAAATGTTCTCTGTTTCTTATTTATAGAAAAAGCCAAAACTGTGCAAAGCATGTCTGCTGTTAAATTCCTAATTTGATAAAAGCAAATGAGGATATCCACTCCCACCCAGCAGAGCAACCAGAATCCTTTTTCCTTGGAGAATTAAGGAAATGCAATTGCAGATAGACCAGAACTTTTCAGCACAGTATTGTCCTTTTCTTTGTCTGCCTGAATATTCTTTTATAGAGAGCTCTGTCATTTATTGAGTGGCACAGATTTTAAATATCAAATTGAGGCAGGTTGTGTTGAGGAGGAGATAAAGTGCATTTCTATTCCCCTTGCCCTTCTACAAAGGAAGTTATCTTTTTTGCCAATATTCATATTCTAGTTATGGAATATTCTTAATGTTCCTGCTAAGTAGCTTCTGTCCTGTGAATTGGGGCTGCAGATGTTTTCAGTTGCCTTAGAGCTGTGTCTGTGGTGAGGCATTTGATAAATCAGCATTTGATACCTTTAAAATGTATTAAATCACATTTACTCTTTATTAAAGGCCTGAGTTAATTAAAGTTCTTGTTTGTGTGTTTACAGGAGAGAAACCCAATTCCTCAGCTCTCCTATTTCCTTGTGGAGCCCTGAAAAGAGAAGTACTTCCTACAGTGCTTAGAGAAAAAGGTTGAACTTCCCCTGGAGACCCATTTTAATTAGTCAGTGATGAGAAAAGTTGCATCTAAAGCTTGTGAACCAAATTGGAAGAAGTAAAAATGGAACGTGCTGAGGAGAGGATGGGAGTAAACACTGGGAGCTTGGATGGCTGCCCAGAGCTCTGGACGTGCAAATCCTTCACAGAACTTTTATGTCTTTTTAGCCTAAAATAGTTACACTTAAATGCAGTTAGGAGGTGAGTGCTGAATTGAAATAATAGAAATTAATGAATGCATTAATTATGATTGCATATCCTGATTGCAGGCATACCCCTGGAAAGCCTCACTGTTTATCAAACAACCCAGCACCCTGATCTGCAGGAATCTTTGAGCAGTTACTTCTCCCAACAGGTACTGGACACTGATGTAGTTTGGGATTTTCTGAGGCAGGTGACAATGCCTCCCAGAATATTCCTTTTTTTGAAGTAGTGTAACTGAAATATCACTGGGCATCCTCGCTGTGTGTCACAAATCAGAATCCAGGAGTAATCTGCCCTATGCAGCCTGTGTAAAAGTAATCATTGCTTTTCATTTTTCAAGATGGGCTTTCTGACTTTTCCATTTTAGGAGCCTCCATCATAAAATTACAGAATCATGGAGTGGTTTGGGTGGGGAGAGAACTTAAAGCTCATCCAGTGCCACCCCTGCCATGGCAGGGACACCTCCCACTGTCCCAGGCTGCTCCAACCCCAATGTCCAACCTGGCCTTGGGCACTGCCAGGGATCCAGGGGCAGCCACAGCTTCTCTTGTCACCTTGTACCTGGGCCTGCCCACCCTCCCAGGGAACAATTCCTGCCCAATATCCCATGCAGCCCTGCCATTCCCTGTGTCCTGTGCCCATGTGCACACTGCTGGAGGAGGGAGTGAGCTGTACCAACGCTGCTGATTTCACCAGGGGATCCCTGCGAGCGTCGCCTTCTTCAGCCCATCCGGCGTCAAATTCTGCCTCCAGCACATCCAGAAGCTTTCAGGGGATTTGATCAACCAAGTCAAGGTATCTTCTCTTAAAAATGGTGGAATACAAGAGGCAGGAAATTTGGGGTGGGCAAATAAGATAGAAAGGCTCTTACATTCACTGCAAACGTTGATTTTATCTTTGGTTTGTGTTTATTTCTCTGAAGAAATCCCCAATTTATAACAAATACAAATGTTATACAGAATTACAGAATCCCAGGATGGTTTGGGTTGGAAGGGACTTTAAAACCCATCTTGTTCCACCCCCTTGCCATAGGCAGGGACACCTTCCACTACACCAGGTTACTCCAACCCCATCCAACCTGGCCTTGGTTGGATTTTAAAAAAGAAATTGTTTTCACCTGGAATGTTTTTCCCCGACCACTTTCCCCCATCTCAATTAGGACAGACTTCATTTTCTCTTAGTGAGGCAATGGTGTGAGAAGTTGTTGCTTGCACCAGGCTGCAGCTGATTAAAATTCCTCTCACTTTTCCCTGTTCTGTGGGACTCAGAGCTTTCAGTGTTTGTAATGGCGAGATAAATGCTCATCTTCCCCGAGTCACTGCTAAGTAGCTGCATTGATGGGTGGCTTTTAATGCTGCAAATCTTCAGCCTGAGCTGCTCAGTGCTGTTTGGGAGGTCACAGAGCTGAGCCGTGGTGCTGTGCCCGAGCGTGTACAGTGCAATGTTGTCCCCGCAGTTCGCTGCCATCGGGCCCAGCACAGCAGAGGCCCTGCAGGGCGCCGGCATCGCCGTGAGCTGCACTGCACGGAGCCCCACGCCGCAGGACCTGGCTGCTGCCATCCACACAGCCCTGCACCCACGCAACTGCTCTGTGCCCCACTGAGAGCCCAGCACGGCCGACGCGGGGCTCCAGGATTTTTGCAGACCTGTTGTCCTGCAAGAAGGTGGTTTTTTTTGGGATTATGAAGGACTGTCCTGGTCGGGAATGGGTGTGAGAAGGTTGCATCGAAATATCTTAAGAAATCTGGAATCTGTGCAGCATCCTTAAAGCATCCAGCTATTCCCTTTCCTCCTGTGTGCACTGTGAATATTTTATCCTTGAAAAGCAGCTGTGAACACTGAGACACTGAAATCAGCCCCTCACCTCAGGTATCCCCCAGCACACAGCTCAGGTTGGAGCTGCTCTGTATGATCAGTTTTACTTGCACATCTTTTGTAGGAAAAGCCCCCGTATTCCAATGAAGTATTTTCTGTTGTGAACTTGTTTGTTGTTCTGCTTTTTAAATATTTGTATACAAATGATAATTGCAGATTCTGAGTGGAACAGGAGAATTCTTGCAGTGAAGTTGCTCTGTGTGGGGTTAATTAAGGTCATCTGTTGCCCCTTGTTACCCTGAGAGAGTCTTAAAAATGAGGTTTTGGTTTCTGTTCCTGTAAAGGAGGATTTATTAACAGAAATAAACTGGCTTACCAGAGTTAATGATGGTGTTAGAGTTGTCTGTTTTGGATGTGGTTTATGCTTTAATTGTTTATCTCTGAAAGGGGAAAAATAATCCTATTTAGCACTAACACTCCCTCCAGCTAATGCCAGGGGCTTCACAGGAGATTTGAATCATAATATACTCATTTATAATCCTCCTGAAAGTCATTTGTGTTGTTAGCACAGTGCTGAGGTTCCTGGAATAACAGAGAAATCCTCCTTTGCTGCACAGTTCGAGGCTGAGGATGGGACCTGAATTTCCATCCACACGAGAGGCTCCACACCTGGAACAAGAGGGAACCTGAGCCTGGTTCTGTTCCTATAAACTGAATAATTCCAGAGTGTGGCTTCATCAGTCACACTGGGACAGCAGGACAAGGGTTTGGCTTATGAAACACTTCCCTTTCTCAGGATGAAATGGAATCTCAGGAGGGCACAAACTACTGGAAGATCACAGAATGCCAGGATGGTTTGGGTTGGAAGGGACCTTAAAGCTCATCCAGTTCCATATGAACGCATGTAAAACCCATTTCTACCTTTACATAAAGTGGTTTATACTGTTATTATACAACAATGAACCACATTTATTTGTAGAAGAACATCAGGACATCAGATATTATATTCTGGAAAATTTTATTAACAAAAAAAAACCACCAAGAGTCCTCACATGCTGAGGTAAGACCTCGCTCAGTGTTACAGTGGAGTTTACAAAGTTTTTTCTCTTTCAAGTCGTTGTAATTCTGTTGAGCAGTTTGCTGCTCTGAGGAGAGTCATAACCAAGAAAAACAAGGCAGACTGACGTGTTTATATTTAATAAATAAATTTTTATTTAAAAATATCCTCTCTTTTATTCACAGTTTCAAATCTGAAAAAGTTAATACTATTCTTGATCAATTCCAACACAGCTGAAACCATTCACTTTCCAAAACAAAATCCCAGAGATGGCTGATAAATTGCAAGAGTCACATCAAAGCTAGAAAGGCACAGGTTTTTGTGCAGGATCCTCCCTGGGATTAAGTAGTGCATCCACATATTCCACAGAAATCTCCTGGTACAGCTTGAGCTGCCTTTAGCAGTGAAAGTGTTCTAGTGCAGCCCTGCTTACAAAACACATTTCGTTACATACCAAACCAGAGCAGCTGTGAGGTTACATCTTTATGCAAAACACAGATCTCACTGCAAGAGAAAAATCAGGTGCAAAACTTACATTTTTATCTCCAGAACTCCAAGCTGGCATTTCAAACAAAGAAATGCTGGGAGCTGAACAAGGAGAGCTTTGCGGGGATAAAAAGGCATCCCTGTGCTTCCCCAGGTTCCAATGGAACAACAGTGGTGAGAACTCACCCTCAATAAACACAAACATCCCATGGGAACACTCCCAGTGCTCCCAGCAAGGCACTGGTGCTGCAGCTGTGCAGGGCTGCCCTCACTGCCTGCCCGGGCTGCCCTCGCTCCTGGCAGCCAGCTGCTCCAGCAGGGACAGGATGAGCTCGGTGCGCTCCAGCAGGGACAGCCCCTTGTTGGCAGTGGCACGGAGCAGCAGGGAATAAACCTGCTTGTTTGTTTTCAGAACTGCTTCTTCTTCATTGCTGCCCCTGCAAAGAGAGCAGAGAATCCCAGCTCTTAACCTGACCACAACTCTTCTTTCTGCAAATTATCAAGAGCGTTATTTAATAATATTGATTAGTATCCCTCAGCCCCCACCATTCCCTGCATTGCAGTCTGTTTGTACTGCAGGCAGGAACATAAAACATAAATACAATATAATATAAAATGTACAAGCAGCAGTCAGGTTAATTGCAAGTGCTTCAGGAGTGACTGAGAAATGTTGAAGCAAATTAAATTCATCATGCACTTGGCAGGAATCAGGTTCATTTATTAAACAGAACAGGTACTCAATAAAAAGCCACTGAAATGCAAAGTATTTCTGGGATAAGTTACAAGTATTCCCAGAACCAAGTATTACTTTCAATTACTTCTCCCCTCCGATTTGCACAGCCAAGTTCTGTTCTGCTCATGATTCCACTTTGGGAGAGTAAAACTCATTTCATCCATTTTGACTGCCAGGCTGCAAGTTTGGCTATCAAACACTAGTTTTCCTACATGTTCTCCTGTTTTTTGCCGAAGTGTACCTGAGACACTGAAGCATTTTGAGCTCCAGTTTCCTCCCTTTTCACCCCATTATTAAAGCAGATGGCAGAACATCCCCTCTGCAGAGCAGAAGGGAGGAAATGCACACAGGATGTACAGAAGGCACAAGAAAGGTTAGATCAAAAGTAGTTTCAAGCTTGGCCTCCAAGTTTTAAGGAATTGAGCAGATTTTTAAGAGAGTCACATCACTCAAACTAACAGATTCCTTGTGTGGAATCTTGAGTGCAAAACCTCAGCATGATGCCAAGGCAAATGTGGGGGTAAAAACCCTTCAAAACAAAAAATGAGGAGCTGCTCATGGTATAAAACAACAGAACTAAACCCATTTACTCAGTTAGCTGTGACATCTGCTTGGTAACAAATTATCCTGCAAAAATCCTCTGTGTTTCACGTATTCAGATTGCCACCTTGTGGAAGCTCTTTCTTAGGAGGTGGAAGCTCCTAACATTGCCTGAAAAACAGCTCAAATCGCACCCAGGCTGTGTTCTCTTCTCATGTTTTGTATTTACCAGTCTCCCACTATCAGCAGACAACTTCCTGAGCACAATGAACTCATTTCTTGAACAGTTTACTTTTAGCAAAACAGCTCTTCCACCAGCAGTGCTTCAATCCCCAAAACTATTAACCCAACTTCCAAGCCTAAAAGAATCCTCTAAAACTAATGTCACATTTTCAGAACTTCATTTTATATAACATTAGGAACAGCTCCTGTAATCATACACTTGCTGCTGGGGGAGTGAAAGGTATTAAAAGGTATTTTCTGGCTGCCAAAAGGAACACCACACACACTCAGATCACAGCAGGAGAAGGCATGAGGGAAGGAAATTGCTGCCACACCACATCTCAACATCTCTTCTAAGCACCAAAAGAAGTCAGGTTTTTCCTGAATGCCAGCAGCAGGACAGAAGACTCCAATAAGAATTAGTAAATTCTGTAACACCAATGCACATCCCTCACTGTGAAGCATTACTGATATGCCTGAATTTCTTCTCAAGTGCTCTGCTTGCCAAACTCCACTGACATTTTAAGAGCAAGATGTATCAAGAGATCAGCAGCACCCAGCAGCTTCTCCCCCAGAAACTCTGCTCTGTCACACAGCAATCCCATGTCAGTCAGAGTAAAGCACACCAAGCTTCAACTTACCCCATCTTTTTTTTGCTTGAAGTCAACAATTTAATGGATTGGAGGAGAAGGAAAGACATCCTGGACTCAAAAATCCCGAGCAGTTTCAAGACTTCCTCTTTGTTAAGGCTTGCAGAGGAATCATTCACTGACAAGCTCTCAGGACTTTTATCCTTACTGATCTACAGGGGAGAAACAACCCAAAACAATTTGACTGAATTCCACCTTTTAAATACAGAGAGTGATTTAAAAAACCCCTCTTGCAGGTGAGCTTTTACATGTGTTACCCAAAATGCCAGTAAGGGACACACACATCAGCACATCCTGCAAGTAATTCTTGACTGAGGCATAAGGAACATAATTCACACTGGCTACAGACAGCCCTGCATGTTTTAATATTTAAATATTAAATCTAACAGAGAGAGAGCTTTTTTATATTATACACAGATTCTGAAGTTCTTAGACAAAATTTTTAAGGAATAGCAGAGTTGCACAAGAAGTCCATTGACACAGGCAGTCCACATTTGTAAAAAATGTGTTTTAATCCATCTCTGGATCATGTTTTGGAGGAATTTTTTTATCCACTTCAGGTTAAGGAAGAAGTGCAATACATCTAACTCTGCCCACATTCTTTAAGCCACTGGCTCTATGGAAAATTAACCAAGGAATATTTTAACTGCCAAATGACCATTCTTTGGTGAAGGCACAAGCCAGAAGGGAGCAGGTATCACATCATTTGAAGTTCCTTTACCTGTTCAGTTTCTGCCACAAGCTCCTTCCTGATGAGCTGAAATGCACCCTTGGTTTTGGTCATTATATCAAGGGCCCCAGACAGAGTCTTTAATTTCCCAGCACTGCTGTTCTGACCTAAAAATAACCATAAAAATGAAGGACAAAAGGCTTGAGTTACAGACTGCATTTTTCTTCCATCCAAAGACTTCAAGAGTTAGGAAGAAAGCACATACTGCCCTGGTGAGCTGAAAACCAGCAAGATAAAAGTGCTCTGTCTCCTCTCTTGAGGAAAATTCTATTCTGAGCAGCAGATTGCTCCTGCTCTCATATAAATTTAATTATCTAAAAACAAAACTAAGTAGGTAGTGGTGCTTTGGAAAGCTGTTTAAAGCCAGAGTTGCACTTACTGGCCATCTGGAACTCTGCAAAGGCCACTCTCTCCAGCTGCACACGCAGGAACTCACAGGGGGCGTCCTTCAGGAGCTGGAAGAGTCGCACTGCTTTGCTGTAGTGGAGATCAGCAAGGACACGGTGCTGCTTCCTCAGGTGCTCATCCCCAACCTGCACTCACAGGAGAGCACAGAGTAAACCTCCCCTCTCTGGATGTTCATGAGGAGCCACTGGAAAGAGAGGGCTGGGAAACAGCACTCATTTCTTTGGTTAAGTAATTGAAATAAATATATCCCAGCTACAGGCAGAAGGGCAAGTATCAGCTCCACACATATTGAACATGCTAAGGAGGGAATTTAGAAAAATCCAAGAGTCTGCAAAAATACCTGGTTCCTGAGGCAGCTGTGGTACATTGAAGCCAGCCTGTGGTGGATGGTGGCAGCTCGGTACTGGCACAGGGGCTGTCGTTCAGACACTGTATCAACATCACAGTACTTCAAGGACTTCATCATGGCTTCACTGACTTCCTTCTCTATCTACAACAGAAATAAATACATACAAATTTAATAAAAATTCCCTGAAGAGGGGCTTTTCATAAGGGCATGTAGTATAGGACAAAGGGGGAAACAGCCTTAAGCTGAAGGAAGGAAGATTTAGAGTAGATACTGGGAAGGAATTGCTCCCTGTGAGGGTGAGGAGGCCCTGGCACAGGGTGCCCAGATTTGCTGTGGCTGCCCCTGGATCCCTGGCAGTGCCCAAGGCCAAGCTGGACAGTGGAAGGTGTCCCTGCCATGGCAGGGGTAGCACTGGATGGGTTTTAAGGTCTTTTCCAACTCAAACCATTGTATGATTCTACAATTCCAATACCAATTTTGCTCCCTGGTGAGTTTTCCAGCATGCCAACAATGCATTTTTTCAGACACAACAAATGCCTCCTGTTACCTGTTCCTGAGCCTTTCTGGATAAGGGAGCATAATCCTGCTGCAGAGTTGCCATGGTGAAATATGTTGTAGACAGCTCCCAGTTCACAGAATCCCAAACAGCTGGATGCACATCCCTCTTCCCCAGAGACCTCAATGCCTTCAGGTAGTAGTCAATAGCCTACAAATGACAAAATCATGCACACAGTTACTGCCTACATTTCTAACAACTAGAAATCAACTTCCCCTTTACTCAAAATATCTCCCTGAGCTCTCTTCAGCATTTCCCATTTGATAATCAATTCTGACCATGCAATTCTCCTCCCTTGTGTGTGGCCCTGCATTATGTTCAGTATCAGCATGTGAATGTCACAGCAATCAAACCTCAACACCACCACCAAAGCCCACACAGCAAGGATTAGGATAGTATGGAAGCAGGACAGCTATCCCAGATTATTCCACCCAGATACCAAAGTATTCACAAATACCTCACAGTAAAAGGCATTTTGGGGTCTGGACCCTGCATAAACCAGGGAGGTGTTACCTTATTGTAATAAAGGGCCTCTTCTGGGGAAAACTCCCTTTTGAAATCCCCTTCAGCTGCACAGTGAGCCTGGGCACAGATTCTCATCAGCCTCCCCGTGTTGCATAGCAGAAGGGCAGCATTGGTGGCATCATCAATGGACTCAAAATTCTGAATTCCTTCTTCAAAGCAGGAGAAACTTTTCTTCCAGAGCTGCTGCTCTGTTGTTGAGACGTTTTTACTCACTAGGGTGAAGCACAAGGCTTAGAGACTCAAATTCCTCAGACATCCTGAACAAACCCTTCCACTCTGTCTCCCCTATAAACCATCTCTTAGAATTCAAGGGGGGGTAAATGATTCTAAAGATCCAATTCACAAAAAATATTAAGATTTCCAGATGGTTGAAGGTTTAACCCCTGAAGTGCACTATTACACCTACTATACTTACAAAAGAATTCCAATGATAGGACACACAGAACACCAAAAAATTAACAGGATGCACCAGATTTTGTTTCCACAGTAATAATTCAGGAGATTGGAGTTACTTCTATAAATTTTCAGTATGAAGCAAACAAAATATGACTTTTACAGACAGTTAACAGACAAAAAATGCAATATTTTAAGGTTTAATTTCAACTAAGTAACCTCTGCAAAAACCCAGAGATGATGACAAATCAGAAAATTCAAAGTCCAAGCCAAAATTCATCAACTAACACTTGGACAAAGGTCACAGGAAACAGCTGGCATTTGGGAAATGGGAGCTGTTTATACTGAACTACCAGCCCCTCACTTGTTCTACTTAAGAGAACTCTTACTCCCAGACAAGATTGGATTTGCTTTCAAAAACAAAACCCCACTGAATACCTCACCCTAAAAAGCTTTTCCTCAAAAAAACCCACCAAAAATAAAACCAGAAGGAAAGCTTCCAAGGTTTTACTTGCAAAAAAATTCACAGGCTGAAGCCTGTGATTTACTGTAATTTACTGAAGCTATTCTTATGTTTAAATTAAGATGATGCTTGTTCATGCTGGGCTAAACCCAACACATCAAGAATGCAACGTGCCCTCCCTTTCACAACACAGTTTGAAGTTTCCCTGATGGCTTTTTGAGAGCATTCTACATATTTTAAAAGAATTTATCCAAACAATATATTCCATTATTCAGTTTAGGTTCAATTAATAACAGTGCACAAGCCACAGTGATCTACTGTAAACAAATAATGACAGTGGATATTAAAAAACTACAAAGTCATTTAGATGTCCTCTTTATACTCAGAAATAGATTTCTCATACAATTAGTGAACTTGATCACTGCTGCAGCTCCATGAAACCGTCAGGAATGAAGAAAGGATACTTGCCTACTCTCTCAGTCTGCACTGCAGCTGCCTGGTTCATGTAGAACACTCCAATCTCATTCCTGATATTGCCCATCCTCTTGAGCACCTGGATGTGCTGCTCTGGATTTTGGCTTTTTAAGTTACTGAAGAGTAGGATTTCATAAGCTGCTTCATAGCATTTACAGCTGACAGAAAGTTGGTATTCCAAATCTGTGGATAAATCTGTAGCCCAGGCAAACACTGGAAAACAAAATGCAAAGCCTTTGTGCCAAACAGCATTTCTCCAATTTAAGTCTAGGGAAAAATGTCCAGAGCAAGTACAAGACTCATGTCAGGTAGATTTTATTTATTACTGAAACAGTTACTGCCTTTAGTTGTTTCACAGCTTCAGGCAATGTCATACAATACCTTGACAACCCCCTCCTGTATGACAGGCAGGATGAGCCTTCTCTGAAGGAAACAGAAGTGAAGTGCAATAACCCCTCTGCCACAATTTCTCCTAGTGCATGGTTTTGAGGAAACCCAATGGAATTATTTATGTCTGTCATGTATCCAAAGTCTGGCACTTCTCCTGTGTCAGGATCATACCTTGGCACCTGGATTCTCTGTGAAGGCTGTGTAATATCTCCTGATCTTCTTTAGTCTGGTAATTATATTCTTCAAGGTAGGCTGCTCTGTTGTTTGCATTCTGAGCCAGCATTAACTGAATATCTCCACAAAGGGTTAAGCACTGGCACAGGAACACCAGCACCTCGGGCAGCATGCTGCCACACAGACAGCAGTAGGTATCTGGTGGGAATAAAAACATGGATGAGGGAGGGGGAAAGAGGAGAATTACACATCAAAAGGCTTGACACATGCTGACAAGATAATTGGGTTTTATGTTACCTGTCTGCATACAGAGAATAAGTGTGACAACATGTTATCCTCAGAAGAAATAACCTATTTTAAAGTCACAGCTGCTCTACACAGCTGATGGCTTAAAGAGAGCCCTGTGCTGTCCAAGATGAACACTCTGGTAATTACAAATGCTAACCTCAAATTTGACCAAGGGAAAACTGACTTTCTGCAGATTAACTCAAGGGAGATACAGCTTGAAAAGTTCATTTCCAAAAGGTAGAGTTTAAAGTTGCTTCTCAAGTCTATAAAAGACTGAAAGCTGCAGAGTGCTGTGAGTTATTGAGAGGTCTATTGATGCTTTGTGCTAAGATCAAATGGGTTTGCTTTATAAACTTCCTCCTGCCCTAAGAAAGGAGCCTTCTCTTATGGCAGGAAAATAGCAGCACTTTAGCTACTGGCATTTCCCAGTTAGTTACTCTCATTATGGCAGTATTAGTCTAAACAGACTGATTTTACTTTTTTCCTTTTCCTCAGTAATACTTCAAGACGTATTCTATTTTAGAGGAGCATCCAATTAAGCTGCTGAAGAGGTTTTGTATTTCTCAGAGTCAAGGATATATTTAAATAACATGGGAACCACCAGGGAAAAACCATCAGCTTGCAGCAGCCTCACTTGGAGCACAGAACACTGACTTGGCCTTGGCACCAGGGCAGACTCTCCCAAATTCAACTGCTCTGGAGCTCCAAATGTGCCCTCCAGTTCCCAACCTGTCAAAATGGGATTGTCTTTCTACCCTCACTACAGACTTCTGCCCTGCAAACTGAGCTTAGTTAGACACAAGCTTGTCAAACTTGTCACTGCACACCACAGGGAAAAATCATTCACAGCAGTATCTGAAGTGGTGACAGGTATCTCCAGGCAGTGGCACAGGTGACAAATCCATTCAAGAATCTCACCATGGCACTGCAAGGCCAGCTTGATGTATCGCAGTGCTCGCCCGTACTTCTGCAGGATCATAGCAGCATCAGACAGGACATAATAAGCTCTGGATGACTTCAGGATGAGCTGGAGCTTCATTTTATATTGCCACGATCCAGGAATCATTCCTGACTGACTGCAATGCTTCCCCTTCTGGAAGGAGCCCACTGTAAGAGGAACAGAACCTCGTTAGTGACCCTCCCCTCTAACACACGCCAGAGATTGGACATGACTGCATCTGCACAGGCAGGATGGGAATTGCCTGATTAGAGCCCTGCACAGGCAGAGCTCTGCCAGCTCGTCTGCCACTCTATTATCATTGCTCCATGCTCTGCACCTGGACAGCAGGATGCTGGAATCCAGTGGGACAGTGACACTGCAGGTGACCTCTGAGCTCAGCTTGTGAAACACAGCAGAGGCCACCACTACTCCCTCAGGGAGCAATAGGAAAAAACAAAGAAGCCACAAGCAGAATTTGTCATATTCTCTACCAAATCCTTAAGATAAATGCTCAGTTTCTGTATGAACAGCCGCGGTGAGAAAGCTTCCATGTGTGGGTTTAGCCTCCAGCACACAAGAACCTGGATAACCTGGTCCTTCCCACAGGAAAACCAAGCACATTTTCACACTCATTTCAAGATATTGTCTGCAGAAGGTTATGAAGCTTTCCTTTCATGCTGCAGTGGTTATGGAGCCAGAAAGAACAGGTCACTGTTCCTGATTTAAGGCCTGTCCCTACCAAGGGACAGTTTTGCCCTGACAGCATTTGCACACAGAAATGAGTCTCTTGCTTAAGGTGGACCTACAAGGCCTGACTTGTAAACCCACTATCTTATAACAATATTTAAACATATAATAAATTCTTAAGCACTACATGTCTTATTAGGACAAAGACATACCTAAAACAGTAACACCCCACCCTGTGTGTGTAAGTAGTTCTCTTGAAGTCAGAAATTCCAGGATTTACAGCACTTATCCTTTCCCTAAGTATGTAAATATGTACAAGTGGCAGAGAAAATATGTAACTCATATCACAAAACAAACTCAAGGACTGGGAAACAGAAGTGAACAAGTAGCACTGCTGCTACTTCAGGGATGGACTCAAGAACAGATCCAGGAACGTCTGAGTATGAATAACTCAAAACTGAACTGATTTCTTATTCAGAGATTCTTCAAAGGGAAAAAGGAAGGAGAAAGGAAAGAATAAAGAACTGCCAAAGTAGGCAAGACAAAGTTTTTTCTGGGCTATGCTTACAGGGCTCCTTGCCCTGCAAAGAACTCTACTGCTTTCAAACAAAAAGTCTTTCCTGGAACTTTTTATCTCACTCCAGAACAAAATAAAATAGTGATACTGTAGTCTGAAACTTCTGGAGTTTGAGCATTTAAGCAAACAAAACATATTTTATTTGCCGCTTCCTTTCACAACAGAAAGAAAACAAAATCCTAGTAGACATTTTATATGCAATTCAAGCACCAAGACTAATGCAGGAACAAAACCTGCCAGAAGGATAAAATTCTTCCAGAAAGCATCCAGGTCACACACACACAAAGAAATTAAGCCTATTTTTAAAACAACCCACAAAACTTATGGTGCTCCACATACCAAACCTCAAAATACCAAGCCCTTATGGAAGTCATCTGAAAGCCACATCTAAATAGGGTCCAGTAAAATCATGTGTTGACTAATAAAAGATTCTTTGCTATGCAAAATAACCCAAATGAGCTTCTCTTTTCATATTTAAAAAGGAACAGACTGTTCTCCAATTTTCAGCGCACTTTTCCTTAGGCAATGGTGTAATTAGTGATTTAAACACACTGTTTTGACAATCAAAATAAAGTAGCAGCAGTTTGTGTTGGCACTGGAAAGGTCTTATTTGCACAACAATGCCACTTACTTTTGTCTAGAAATAAGGCCATCTGTTTTTCCAGAGACTCAGGACCACCACTGGTGGATTCATCCTCATATTTCAATGGGATTGGAGTGCTGGGGTCAGCTGCAGGAAGGTCACCTTCTTTTTTAACACTGCTGTCAACAGACTTCAAACCCTGCAAAAGGGAGAAAATAATTTCATTCACCTTGAGAGCAATATTTAGCAAACATAGAGTGGATGAAGAATTGGGTGGGAGGTGAAGCATCCTCAGGAAGCTGGCAGTGAACTCACCTCCAGGACGTGGTTGAGAACCAGCCTGCAGCGCTCCTCGGTGCCGTGGCAGACAGGGAATGCACAGCTGGGCTTCAGTGGAGCACCAGGGAGGGAAGAGAGGAAATGTCAACATAGGAAATATAAAAATGACTGGCCAGAAGATACAAGTGAGAGGTAACATCAAGACTAATTGGAATATGATAAGGAAAAAAAAAATCTACATGAAGCTTGCTCTACCATAAATTTTTTTTGATTTTATGAGCAGCTCATCAAATGTTTCTTTGCCCACTTCACTTAACTTGAGGGCAAAATCAGGGAACTGAATTTCACTCCTCACTTTTGTCCCATGAATTGAATCATCCAGGAAAACCATTAAATACCCCCAGAGTGTCACTTACACGTATTCGATGCACAGACTTGTACTTTTCTGGTACTGACAACTCCCCAACAGATTTGATTATTGCCACTGCTTTGTTGTCATCTGGGGGATCAGAACTGTTGCTGTAAGAACCATTTTCATCACTGTCTGGCATCTCTTCCTCTTCCTCACTGTAACTCTCATCAGAATTTCCATTCATAGGAAAGTCTGCACTGTCTTCTTTTTTAGGTTCATCCAGCTGAAAAAGCTCTGATAACATGTAGTTTGCTGAAGCAATAATCTTTGCAAAGAAGAGAAAAAAAATGATTCATTCTCAAGTTAAATTTTTGAGAGGCAAGAACATAAATTGTCTTAGAATAAAGAGTACAGAGGACATGCAAAGAGGTGTTTGATAACCTGCAAATACACCCTGAGCAAATTCCCTGCAAGGGAAAAGGATCCAAGCTGATCAAGTTTAGAAGAGAATAAAAACCAATTGGTAGAGAACAAGTACTGCCTGTTCTAACAGCCCACAGACCACAGGAGACAGCACAAGGATCTTATGCAAGCAAAAAAAAAAAAAAATGAAGAGATGCCACTGGGATTTTGAAAACCTTTCACAACTCTTGAAGGAATCCACATTCTTATTAGTTTAAAGTGTGCCATGTCTCCCCTTGAAATCCGTTCTAAATATGATTCAAATTTTTCACATCACATTTTTGGGATTCATTTTCAGTTGAAAACAGCTTAAATCATTTAGAGACTCTCTAACCCAACCCACTTATCAAGACAGGTTGCTTAGAACTGTGTCCAGCTGGGATTTGAGTATCTGAAAGGATGGAGACTACAACTTCTCTGTTTGCCCTGTCCCAGTTTTCAGCCACTTTCAGAGTAAAATGTGAATATATTCACATTTTACACTTTTTATCCAGGATGTGCTCCCAGAGGGCTCTCTGGCAGCAAGAAGAGAGTGAATGTAATAAAAAGTTCCTTTTTGGGGCACGACAGAAGACTTGTGCTTCAATGAGGAGCAGCAAAAAATATTAATTAAAAAATAGCATGGGGATTCTTTAAAAATAAAATTAATTTTTAAGTTCGTTTATAAATTTAAGTATCTTTTGGAGGAAGAAGTAGCACACTATTTATTACCAGGTTTATTATGATGACAGCATTGTTATATTTACATAAAAGTGCAAGAAAACATTGAATTCTTACTTGAGGATGTCTGCCATTGTCCAACAACTTCAGACAATTCAGGAGCAACGTTCTGATTGTGCCATAGTGTTTCTTGTTCTGGTTTTTCTTCAGCATCATATTGCAAGCAACTCTAAGAGAAAGTTGAACAAAACAGTAAAATCCCTGGATAAATTGTTTGTGCTGGAAAAAAAAGAAGCTTTAAACAATATTCTTCAACTGTAAATCTTCCAAACTTTATGAGGGGTCTAAAAGACTTTATCAGCAAAGAAGTTTACACGGAGAAATGGTGAAAAGGAAAAAGTTCGTTTTGATCTAGTGGGACTAAGATATAGCAAGTTTGTGAATAATTGTCATTTGGTCATGATTTTTGGTCTGTGTTCTGAACAGAACTGCACCAAAAATTAAGTACTGCAACAAAAATGATAAAAACTCACTTGTACAGCAGAATTGCCACTGGCATTGTAAAAGGGTTTTGGTATTTGTCTTCAGTCTCTTCACAAAGTGTGGTGAGGTCATAGAGCTTTACTATATCACTCCCACTTGCTGAAAAGAAAAATCTTTCATTAATCAACATCACATTACCATCGATCTTTTCAAATTGATCTAAACCTTCTTACCTTTAAACAGCCAATAGGTGTGTCCTTCTTTGGTGCAATTTGATTTCAGAAAAGATAAGATATTTTGAGCAATATCTTTTATCACTTTGGTAGAAAAATTAGAGTTTTCCAAATTGGGAATATCTTCAGTCTTGATCATTTCATATTTCTGCAAAGAACAGAAATTAAAACTCAAGCTTAGAAGGATTTTGTGACACCAAAATTAATATATCAGTGTCTCTATCAACAGCTAAAAGAAACAAAGGCTGCTATTATGATAAATTGAGTTAATTTCCATGATTTACTTTAAGCAAGCACATCTTGACTATGCTACTCAATCAAAGAAATGGATCCTTCTTAAAGCTATCACAAACATGGTGAATGGAGAACAAAAGATGAGGAAAAATAAGGGGGAGAAGGTGCAACAGCTGTTATTTCAATGAAACCTAGTCAGCCAAAGAAACAACTCCAGGCTACCAGGTAGAAGAGAAACACAGCTGGTCTACAGTAAGACAGTATAAACAAGCATTCAAAAGCTTGCACCTGTCTTGGCAAGGGAACACTGCACATTTCAAGATGTAAGGAACTTATTTCTGCTGTTGCATTCTTTATTTTCTTCTTCACTCAAACATCAGGGGAAGAAGGAATCTTGTATGCATGAAAGAGAGGGGAAGAAAGAACACACTATTTTTAGATGACTGCTGCAAGCTTCCTAAGATGCTTCTCATTCTGCAACACAGGATTTCTGTCATCTTTGCTCAGAACAGTGTGAAGGATCTATTATAACTGAGGCAATTTTAGAAGATGAAGAATGAATTATTATTTTAAGGCATAATGCAAAGAGCCAGACTTACCTGAACAATTCCATTGACATGAAAGCACATCACAAGCTCTGGTACGTTGCATATCAAGTTGTCCAACCAATAGTCAATCCCTGTTAGCACATTTATTGGCTTGTTGTTATCCCTAAAACAAGATATTTCTAGTGTTGTTTCAATCTTTGTTTAACCTTCAGGAACTATTAGGGATGTTTACTAATGGGATTTGGGTTTAAATCACCTGAGAGCAGATGAATACTAAAACAATTATTTGTGAATTGTTGTATTAATTGATATGCTGATCTCTCCAATGGAATATGCTCACATTCCATCAGCAGTTTGGAGTTTTTGCCCACACTTAGCAGGCTTCAGATGTCACACTATTACCAAGATAGTAAGTACTTCAGAATTTCTAAAGGCACAGCACTTTCAGCTGCAACTAATTATAGCACAAACCTTCTACCAGATCTTCCAGAATTCCTTGAAGAGCAAGGTACTGTTAATTCCTAGAATTCCATCTTAAAAAGATGGCAAATACACCAAATGAGCTTCAAGTTTTTGCTCATTCTTCGCCTACGTAGACGCAGGAACAGGAAGAGTGATAACAAAGGGAATGATATTAAATTAGGACTGGAACAGTTCTGTCTCACTGCTCAATCACATTTTAAGTGCTTATGATCAGCAAGCAGCTACTGAAATTCAGACTCCCAGGAGGAGAAATATGACTGCTCTCTTTTATAAAAATAGCAAAAAATGCAGATAGCTAACTATGAAACAGAGTAACAAATTAGTCAAGGCTGGTATAAATAATATCTAGGAACTTCTAAGCTCACCTGAGACGCAGGCTGACTGCAGGGTATCTCCCACCTCCAAATATTGGCATATTTGATCCCACTAACATGTGGATATCTTCAAAGGTCCACAAGATATTACGAACAAAGTCATTTTTAAGTCCCTTCATTAAGAGAAAACAGAATTGGCCTGTAAATCAGTGGCGTAACATTTGTTCTCTATGACATTCTGTGGAATTATGAGACAGCAAGAAGCCAAAGCAGCAAATAAAAGCCAGCACACGATGAACCCAGCACATTCACAGGAACTTAAAATTGCAGATGCCACAAAAGCTACTTCTACAGGGACTGAGGTTTGCCCTTGGTTCCAGTTGAGGCCCAGTTTGGAGGCATTGGTTTAACCTGGGGGGTTCAGCTCTCACATAAAGCATACCTGACTGTTCTCCCCGTCATTGAACAAAGGAGTCAGGTTTTGTTCTCTGGGGGCTGAGGCCACGTGCCCCACTAGATATGAGGGTTCAAGAGGCACATTTCCCTGTGGAGAGCACAAGGATAAGGAGTGATTCTGCTGCTGAGGTCAAGTCGGCCATTTAAAAAGATATGAACAACAAAAGCATGTAAGGGAAAAAACTTTACCACCAGCAACTTTAAATAAACATGCATTAAACTGCAAAGGCCTCTAGGTAGTGACTAGAATGCTTCTTTTATATTGTTAGTGCCAAAATGTTATATTTTGCAATATACTCAGAGGTTCTGGGAAGAAACCAGAAAGTTTATAGGAGCTCCTTACTAACCCAGGGTCAACACCATAATCAGTGTCCAGAAGAAAAACCTCTATATCCTGCTGGCTTACTTATAAACTGAATAAAATGGCACTGTGCAAATGCACAACAGCTTCTTGATGATCAACAGTCTGCTGAATTGGGCAATGGCTCCTCAAGAGAGTGGATGAGAGAAGTCCTTTTTCTAGAAGCTTTAAAGCACTGAAGTGTTTCTCCACACAGCACATGCTGTTACAATTTTATGGCTTATGTAGGTTAGAAGCTCCCTAAATTTGGCAGATCAGTCTTAATACTGTGCAAGCACAAATGTATCATCATTATTACATTAATGCAGACTGAAGACAACAGATCTTTCAACCTCTCCAAAATTAAATCAATTCCTGTTTTATATTACTCACAAAAGCCACAGGAATTAACAGTTTTCATAAATAAGTTAAGCCAGAAGAGAAACCCTGAATTAGGGCCTGATACTAATCATAGCTTGTTGCATAATTGTTGTAAACATTTCCCCTTTCACTTGTGTAATCCCATGGCAAATATTTTTAAGTACTGCTTAACTGTTTTCCCTTTTCAGAAATTTTGATTTTCCTCTTCATCTAATAAATTCAGAGTCACCAGAAGATAGATTTTAAAAAGAAAGGCCAGAACTTTAAGCTTCCAGACACATCTTCTGATTATCAGGATTTCCCTAGTTTTAGGTCAAGGCACCAATGACTACTCTTAGCCAAAGGCTTTGTTTCTCAAAGATGCTGGGATAAACAGCAATTTAACATTACAGTGACAAAACAAATAGCTGAAATTTGGAGCTCTGAACCACTGGCAAATCTGGAACTGCACCTCCTGCCAAGTTCTCTCATGCCTTAGCTCAGCTCTTTCAGCAAAGGGATCTGCAGCAGCATTTCTGAGAACCTTTGCACATCTGTGGCTCTACAAACACTGTGGTGCCATGTAAAACATTCTCCACACCAACCTGGTTAGAGGCACCTGGATCTTCAGATAGCGAGGAAGGCATTTCAAAAGGAGCTGGCCAGGAGGCCCTTCCTGCTTCATCACTCTCACCTGCAACAGGACCCTCCTGGTGCTGCTTGGAAGTGGAAGGAACAGGCTGAGCAGCTCCATCTCCATTAATGCTAACAAGGAAACATTTACAAGTTCAGCTGACAAGATGCAAACAGATCCATTTTTAGAGTTGCTATGTTTGATGCACCCTTGCCAACAAACGACTTGGCTGATATGCAGTTAATTAAGTCATGCTGTTTATTTTATGCTTGAGTATTTCAATTTTAAAGTAAAATACTTCAATTTCTGTGAAAATATTTCATGTTATTTCCTGACCTCACCCCTCAATTCCCTCTGTATAAAGAGAAAGAAGTAAGTCAGACGACAAAGGAATTTTAAGATTTACTCCCAAGATCAAAAACCAAGCAAAAGTGATGCAGAATTCAAGTTTCATGTAGACAAAAGATTACCTGTAATACAAAAACTTAGAAAGTATTGCCTTCTGGTACCAATGTTCTTTACTCTTCTTTTTTCTTTGCCACTTCTGATCAATCAGTCTTTGATAAAACTCTTTCAGCCATGTCCAGTCCCCTGTCTAGGCAACAGAAGAAATATGAAAATAATGTCAAGCAGCATCTGTAAAGTAATCCAAGTGCTTTATAAACTTACAAACATTCATCCACAAGAAGAAACCCTGAAAATAACTTCAGAGCTGAAGTCCTGAATTGGTCGTTTATTGAAAACATAGCTTCTAGGAAATTCTGTTTGTACTGAAAATCTGACTTAATTAGAAAATCAGATATGTAAGAGGCTACATAGTAAGAAACACACATTGCTTATAAAATCAAATTGTATAGCAATACTACACAAAAGTGAAACATAGAATATTAACCCTACAATACCATGAACACAGGACATCAGATATAATTTGTGGGTAAACTGCTGCAGAACAGAACACCTTTGGTACCAACATACGATTTTTAGGGATTTCCAGTCATTTTTTTGCCACTCTATTCTTGAAATAATGCATTTTGCCCATGTGCCATAGTTATCAAGAACCAAGTGGTTCACCTGAGATGATCTCATGAAGAGCTCCTGGATATCCAGCTCATCCAACAGGAGTGTCCTCCCAATTCTGTGCACTGCCATGCTCACATGGGACTTACTGTAAGGGATCTTCAGGAGTTTTTTGATGTTCTTGCAGAAGAAAAGAGAAAAGAGAGAATATTCAATATAATTATGCTGCATGGGAAGACAACTGTCAGGAAACTAAGGCCCCATCATGTGTAATAGTGACTTGGGAGACTCCAAGTCTAAACACCATCACTCCAAACACTCCCCCTTCCTTCTTTTCCCCCCCAGCCCCCTTTGGTCAGTCAGGGTCACCTGTCCTGGCTGTGTCTCTCCCTGGCTTTCCATTCACTCCCACCCCCTGCCAGCACAGCTGGATGAGAAGCAGGAAAGGCCTTGGCTGTGTAAGCCCTGCTCAGCAACAACAAAAACACCTCTGTATCATCAACCTGTGCTCAGGATAATCCCAAAACAGTCCCTTAACAGCCACTGGGAAGAAAATCAATTCTACCTCAGCACACATGGTCAAATAAAACCTGACAGTGCCAGGGATCTAAAAACCATTCCACAAGAAAATGCATTTGCTGAGGGCATAGAACACAAGTGACCGTGATAAAGAGACCAAGTCATCAGTAGAAACAAGACACACTAAACATCTTCTGATTGGATCACCATACCAACAAAAATGACAAAAATATGCAAGTGGATGATTTGCATTGTAAACCTTTATTTCCACAGCAGGAATACCAATTCTTTGACAGGTGTCCAAAGCAATCCAGACAGAGATCTAAGTCTGAATACAAAGCTAACAAATATTAACATTAGTGTGTTTTCTCTTCTGAGTAGCCTCATCTGAATTCTACAGATATTACCAGCACCAAAAGAGCTGATAAGCTGACAAAAATCAAAGGAAAGAAGAACTTGGAGGGGAGCTCTCTCTTCTAGATAAAAATAGCAAAAAAACAAACCAACACAACTTGAGAGTAACAGCTTCCATCAAAATAACTGATTTTAAACACACAAGACAACTACTGAGATGCTGCATTCACTAAACTGCATACTTTAGCTGCAGATTACTTATAGAACTCCAGAGGAAATGATTTTCTCTCTACATTCCTTATTCAGTGATCACAGCTCCCTTACTTGGTGATCTGTGATTCATTAAGGGATCTTTCCTTTTCCCCAAAGGACACAAAGATGCCAGAAGCCATCACTGTACCTTAAAAGTTTATGCAACGTAAGAATTTGAGTGAGAGAATTTAAGATGCATCCATACCTCTGAATCAGATACGACATCCACATCATTTCCAACTGAGTCAATGAAGTCATAGGCCATCCCAAAGCTATTTAAAAGAATATTACAAGTTAAGACAGTTCCAGTGTGACACTCCAGACCTGGCTTTTCTATCTGTTTATTAGTGGCTATCTTCCTTTTCTCTGCCTTCAGTCAGAGCCAGGATTGAAGCACAAGAGACAGATTTTCTTGTTTGGACTTGGTTGTTTATTAATTCTTATCTAAAATACAGTGAGTTCTGTAGCACTTCCAGCTAACAAGCTAAAAATGGCAAAATGGAGCTCTATCTTGCTTGTTACAAGGTCTTCTAAAGGCAAACAGTCCAATTAAAAGCTAACATCTATATTATTTATACTTTTGACCCAATGACCAAACACCTGTGATCTGCACTGTGGGATTTTCTATCTAACCAAAAATTACTGCCTGAAACCAAGAAGAAGGAGAAATAAGAAGGAAGAAAGACAATGCCCCAGAACTTTCATCTTGTCCCATACCTATTCCTATATTCTAAAACCCCACATTCCAAACCCTTCACCATGTGATATTACACATTTCTACCCCAACTACACACCAGTAATTCTAACTCCATCACTCCAATTTGGAAACCTTCTCCAAGGCCTCAAGCCAAAAGCAGTGTTCTTTTGAGGGTCAGTGCCAGAAAGTACAGAAAGTTCAAAACTCCCAGGCTTCTGGGTTCCAACATCTGTTAAGTCTTTCAAAGAGTTCATTAAAAAAATAACCCAGCTAAACATCACCAAGTGTAATGAGACCTAAAATTAGCAGTTATTTCATCTTCATATTCTGCAAGTTTTTCAAATATATCTTTGAAAGCGCTTAGATCTAATTTCAAGAATATTCTAAAACACTTAGCTTTGTTGAAATCAAGAAAAATCAGAGAAAATGAAGAATTCTTTTTAACACTGAAAATAAGAAGAGTTTAAGGAGTTTCTCTTTAAGGCATTAAGGTTAATAAAGACTTTAATTTTAGTCTCTGTAATTGAATTTTACCTCTTATTCACATTTTCCAGAACTGCCCTACATGTTGTAACAGACACATTGTCTCTTCCTCCACCCTCATTAAGGAAATTACAAGGTACTTAAGTTGGAATATTTCAATGTACAAATCATTCTTTAAAACAAATCCAAATACTATCAAAATCCAAAACATACGTGATGTGCATGTTAAACTTTCATTATCAGCTTTTAATACTGACATTAGAGAAAGAGACTGAACTGCCAGCCTCTATTTGACAAACACAGTAGCTAAAATAAATATGAAAAATTCATAAAGCCCTGAAAAACATGTTACTGTGCTCTGAAAAGCACAGCTCCTAAAAGAGATGATGAGGATATAAACACAGACCTTGAACAAACTGTTAAATTTCACTGACTGGCTGACTTGGTGTGAATTTGCTTGATCAGCACAGGATTTGAGCCTCATGTTTATGAACACTCTGAACTCAACTCATTCAACAATTTAGCAAATATCCACACTGAAAGGTAACACTGCTTCTGGGGTGTGCCCCTCATTTCACTATAGTGTGATTGATAGAATATGAAATCCTGATATAAATACAAGATTTCATTTCCCATTAGTCAGGTCCAGTTTCTAAAGATCCAGAAGATCTATAAATTGGTTTCCAAGGGGAACCACATGTTCCATTTTTACCTGTTATCAAAGGCAGAAGGGCTGGCTGAACCAGTCCAGTTTGATCTGGGCCAACCAGGGAAGAACAAAAAGTTTGACTGTGTGAGCCAAGGTGTCAACACGAACACATGAACAAAGTAATAATCAACATCACCAATCATTTACAAAGGAGACAAGAACAGAGCATAGAGGCAACAACTCAACGTGAAAAAGAGGGAGAATGGTTAAGACAAAGCAGTATGTAGTTGCTATGGTAAAACCTATACCTTCTACTTTAAATGACATAGGATCCAAATTCACAATCAGAATTTTTCTTAAAGGCCTGAAAAAAAAGAGGGGCTGCTGTTATTTACCTTGAGAAGGGTTTACTTTTTTTGCTGTTGCCCAGAATGGTTGTCCCTGCTGCTCCCAGCTTGGCACTTTCCCGTAACCAGTTGGCAGGAGGCAGCTTCAGGTCAGTTTTCTCCTGCAGACGGGCAAAGGCTGCTTGAGGAGGGGCTGAGGAGTATTTCACCACAGCACTGCTCTTCACCTCATTGCCTCCAAGGAACAGCACCGACCCCTGGTTTCCAGAGAGAAATTAGACTTCTATTTAAGTGCTGGCAATTAAAACTATCAGGCTTGCTCTGTGATAAGTTATTTTTAATGCTAAGTGACCAAAATCCAGTTCTATATTCACTTACCTTTCCCCAGCACACAGTTTTCCGGTTATCCCAATTTCAACTTGTGTCAAGCATAAGCTTCGCTTTAGGAATTATGACAGAATCACTTAGGTTGGAAAAGACCTCCAAGATTATCAAGTCTAATCTGTGATGGATCACCACACTGTCACCCAGACCAGAGCACTGAGCAACACATCCAATCTTTCCTTAGACACCTCAGGGATGGGGACTCCACCACTGCCTCAGACAGCCTATCCCAATGCTTGACAACCATTCCCATGAAGGAATTTTCCCAATACCCACCCTGAGCTCTCCTGGCCCAGCCTGAGGCCGTTCCCTCTCCTCCTGTCCCTGTTCCCAGATCCCAAATCCCCCCGGCTGTCCCCTCCTGTCAGGGAGTTGTGCAGAGCCACAAGGGCCCCCCTGAGCCTCCTTTTCTCCAGGCTGAGCCCCTTCCCAGCTCCCTCAGGAATTCTCCAGACCCTTTCCAGCTCCATTCCCTTCCCTGGACACTCTCCAGGTCTTTCTTGATGTAATAACCCCAGAAGCAATCCCAGAATGTGAGGCTGGACCTCAGCAGTGCCCAGTACAAGGGGACAACCACTGCCCTGGTCCTGTGGCCACACTGTGGCTGATCCAAGCAGGTGACAGTGGCCTTCCTGCCCACCTGGGCACACTGAGGTATGAGAATGAAGTGCCAGCAAGGTCAGCTACCCACACAACACAAAATCACTCAGAAAGGCTAAAACGAACTCATGACTCCTACTGAAGTTTGTGAAAGTACGTGTTTATTAACAGCAAGTGTTCCCTAACACCAGCATTACCACCGATACCAACATTAAAGCCAAACACTCTTCTGCCTTAACGAATAATAATAAATTAAATAAGCCTTGTGTCTGCCTATTTCTTTTCAAACACAGCAAAACACGCAGCTGTCACCCGTGTGCGAGGAGCTTTGAACGAACACATGTCGAGGAAAAAACAGCTCCACAGGACACCACTTACGTAAATGCAATGCACTTAGGAATAACAACAGCAACACTACTCGCAATTAACGCTTAATCATAATTAGCGTGCTCCCTACCGCACTCTGGCCCTGACAAACCGGAAGGAAGATCAAAAACACCGCTTCAATTAAAACACCACTGGGGGCTGTGTCCGTAGCTGAAGGCTCGACCCCCCCCCTCAGCCCCGCTACCTCACCTACCACGGCCCCCCCTCAGCGCCGCTCACCTGCTTGGGCTCCTCGGTGTCTCCCCTGAGCGGGGCAGCGGCGCCTGCGCCGCAGGGTTCCTCCATGGTCGGGGAATGGAACGGGAATAGTCCGGGAATGAAGCGGGAATGGCCGGCGGGAGCGGAGCCGCTTCCCGGGGGCGTCCGGCCGGGAAGCGCCGCCTCTCGCGAGACTTTTCGAGAAGGCGCGGGAAGGGCGGGCTCTGAGGGCGGCGCCGTGAGGGGCGGGAGGCGGCGGCGGCGGCTCCGTGAGGGGCGGGTGTGGCGCGCCCAGCGGGATCGGCGACTCTTTGAGTTTGGAAATAGACACGGGCAATCTGTGACCGAGCCCTACCCTGTCAATTACACCGAAGCACGGAGTAACACGTGCAGTCGTTTCTTAAACACCTCCAGGGATGGGACTCTACTACCACCCTGGGCAGCCTCTTCCCATTCTTGGCCACCCTTTCCATGAATAAATTTTCCCTATTCTCCAATGTACGCCTCCCCTGGCACAGTTTGAGGTCATTCACAGCTGAGCCAGAAGGTCTCCCCGAGCCTCCTTTTCTCCAAGCTTGTTTGGCTTTCCTGCATAACTGGGACCTTAATGAAACAAGCTAAAACTTGGGGATGGGGTACCTCAGCATGGGAGAGGATTGAAAACTGCAGTGTCCTGCCCTCTGCTTGTACACTGAGTTCCACAAAAGCTAAGCTGTGATGGCTTCAGAAAGCAAGTAATTCCTGAATAGCGCCCATGGGATTTTTAATATCTATTACTTTCCTTGTAGATGGTATTCCTCATTCTCTAAACCACAAGAGGCAGTACAGTTCATGATTGGTCAGGGAGTACAAATGCTGACTGCCTCTTAAATTACATCTGTATCTATCTATAGCCACATACATATTTATATATATATATATATATATAAACATGCATATATCTAGATCATGGAATCACAGCATGGTTTGGGCTGGAAGGGACCTTAAAGATCACCCCTGCCATGGGCAGGGACACCTTCCATTATCCCAGGGTGCTCCAAGCCCTGTCCAGCCTTTGGACACTGCCAGGGATCCAGGGGCAGCCACAGCTTCTCTGGACAATCTGTGCCAGGGCCTCCCCACCCTCCCAGGGAAATATTTCTTCCTCAAATCCAATCTAAACCTAGTCTCTGTTAGTTTGAAGCCAAAAAGGACACAAGTGTCGTCTTCTTTACAGTCTGTCAATGCCAAGGAAGCAAAGTCTTGGTTTGTGCTACTCTGGCCAAGTGTGCTGCAGTTAAATAGTTGGGATGTTTCCAACCCAATGCTCAAACTCAAAATGAAAAAAAACATAAAGACGCAGTAAGGTTTTCTGTAAATATTGGGCGTGTGTTCAATTAAGATGCATGTATGTGGAAAGCCATTTTCAAAAGAGCAGGAAGTTGCATCTTAAAAATTCTGTCTCTAGCGTCCTTTGGGTCTTCCTCAAAAACAGCTCTCCTTTCCGCACGCATTCCTGTTCAGGCTGAGAAGTGTCACTGAGGTGACTGTGCAGAACTCATTTGTTTTCAACACTCAATCCTCGGACGAGCCGATGTTTCCCTCTTCCCTGCAGCACACGGGCAGGAGCAGCGTTGCCCAGCGTCCCTTTCTGGTTGTGTGGATGTCGCTGAAAGGCCGGGGGAGGGCTCTGAGGTCACAGGGGAGGAGGGTTCCACACCGTGCCCGTTCTGGGAGCCGATCTCCAGGGAGCCGCGGCGGCCCCGGCAGAGCCTCCGGAGGCGGCGGTGACATCGGGCATGGCTGAGGACGGCTCTGGGCAGCCCGGCGACCGGCGCCCTGGCGACTGGGTGAGGGCCGAGCAGGAGCCCCGTGCTCCTCACAGGTCTTCTTTGCCCTTTACCCTAAAAAGGACTTTAGAGACTGTCCCCATAAAGGGCTTCTTTACCCTTTTAAACTCTCAAAAAACCACCACGCTAAGGGTGACTTTGTCCTTTAGCCAGAAATTAGTATTCCCATTCCTGAGCTTTACGAGGAAAGAGTGTCCTATGTATTCATAAGAAGTGTGCAAAAGTTCTGGCTTGCTAACTAACCCTGGCTGGATTTTTTTTTTCCCCCTCCCCAGTTTTCCAGCTATGCTGGAGGTCTCTTATTTGATAGTTAGCCATGGTTGATTTTCCTTCTCTTCTGGAGAACTCCAGCCAAGGTTTGCCTCAGTTCCTGCCTCCAGGAGAACACTGTGATCCCGGCTGAAACACTGGGCTGGGTTATCTTGGCATCCCAGGGCACTGTGACACTCCTGGCACAGGCTGTTCTCACTCTCTGAACTCTTTGGCCTGATGTTTGCTTGAGCTGTTCCCACAAGTTCTGTGCTTTCAAACTTGTACAACAATAGGATGGGGTGGGGAGAGGGAAGGTCGTTGTTTTCCTTGGTGGTTATTGCTGTATAAACAGTTTTCAGAAACTTCCTGGATAGTCTTGTCTGGAAGATCCCTAAAATTCTTGTGTGATTATTTTATGTAGGTTCGAAGATCTTTATGGTAGGGTTTGTGTTGCGTATGTGGGAGACTCCTCGTTTTTCCAGACGCCACTAGGTGCTGCTGCAATCCAAGCAATAAAAAAAACACAAATGGGAAAATACTATTTTGCCAGCATTTCTGATCAGATTTATTTGTGGGGAGTTTTTTTGGTATTTTTTTATTTGGTTTTTATTTTAAAGGGTCATAATCTTCATTATTTTTCTAGTTTGCTCACCTTGGAGTGGAGCAGTGCGAGCTGGAATCAACAACCACCGCTTCACAAAGACATGTGCTGAACTCGGCAGCCGCTCTGGGTAAGGAACACAGAATGCCGCTGGAATACAAAGCCCGTGTGCAGGTGAGTTCCTGTGGCAACACAGCCGATTTTCGGAGCTCTTTTGCAAGTTGTCACTTGCTAAGTTGTGAATAAGAACAGCACTCAAGGTCGTCAGAGGAGCAGTCACAGCGGGCTGGCAGACTTTGTGCCTCAGGGGATGGAGTGATTGCTGCCTGTGCTGTGGAAGAAACATATTTCCCTGTTACTCATAATTTTAGTTGCTCAAAGTCCTGCTGTATTGCTGCTGATTTTCTCTTTTACTATTGAGACACCGAATACATTATGATCCTGTGTGTAAAGCCTTGTAAGAATGTTTAATGGAAATTTGATCAGCTGTTTGGCAATGAATGTCAGAAATTCAGTGTATTCACACAAAGGAGTGTTCTTTTTGATAATTTAAAAGTTAGAAGCTCCTCATTTGGAACATTTTTAAGGCTTGCTTAAAAATGAAATCTGTGAAAAAATTTAGGATGAAATTCAGTGTTTTTTTAAAGCACAAGTATTTAAAATGTTGCAATGTTATAAGCACGTTTTCATATCCTTATTTTAATATCACACTGAGCTTTGCTTTACCCACCCATTTTGTGCACAGAACGCTTTGTATTTTCATTTTGTATAGGCACAGCAATTACAGTGGGTTCATTTCACATGTTTTGCTATAGTAAAGGGCAGAAATGAAGGGCTTGGAAGGAATATTTAAGAGGGAAGGTTGGGGCTACTGAAAAGGAGAAGATACTGTAACGTATACACTGTGTTAATATTACATCTATCTTTCTGTGGAACATCTGGCCTTAGCCACTGCCTGGAAAGGAGAATCAGGGTAGAGAGACCTTTTATCAACACCAGTGTGACTTCACCTGAAGTTACATGTCTTGTCTTTACCAGCCCTCCATTTTTATATAGAATAAGGGAAATTCTTGCATGTCGTAAATTAAGAATTAATATGAAATCAGTGGTGAGAGCACGAAGATGCACTGAAGGCTAAAATGGGGCAATCTGAGGAAGTTTGTTTAGGCACTGGTAATAAACACTATGCCTGAAATGCTGAAATGGACATTTAATTGCAGTAGGATATTATAGTAAGAAATTTACAGACTCAGGATGTGCTTAAACACATGTATTTGTTGAATTTACTTACCCCCTGAACTACAGTCTGGGTGAATCAGTATGAGACAAGTGAACCTGTGAATATACCTAAAAAAAGAAAGAGAATCTGCCTAGTAAACCAAATATCCTAAGATGTGACCATGCAAGCACATTTTGTGTCTGGTGAATGCTCTTGCTGGATCAGGCCTCCAGTTACATTGACATTTACAACACATTCAGGTTCCCCTACTTTTGAAACACCTCCTTTACACTGTGTTACATTAAAACTTGCTCTTTTGTTTGGAGGGGAATATGACAATTGGGATATTGCACTGATACATACCAAACATTTAAAAAGTCAGATATGCTCATTATGTCTAGGATAGCTCTCTTTGCAGTTGTCCTTTTTTTTCTTCTGAAACTCTGACTTAATTTGGAGACTGGATGAAGATCATGTTAAAGAACGAGGTCATAAATTAGTTAAGCAATTAATACCTCTTCCACTTGCCCTGCAACAAGCAGTGACCATGACATTTAGTTCATAAATCACACACTAATTCAGTTTTGAGGTCTCTTTTGTAGTTTATTTTAATTAGCTTTCGGCCTACTACTAAATCAAGCAAGGCAGTCCTGACATATATCTAGCATTTTGCTGCTTTGCAGACAGAATGTATCATTTCTTATTTGAAAACTCACACTTTTATATTAATCATGCATATATTCAGCAAATCCTCCTGATCATTTTATTAAAAAAAAAATTAAAAGTCCATATTACCCCTATAAAATCATGTGCAGGTAACATAGGAATATGACTTCTGTGCTAGAACAAAAGCAACTGTAATCTCACCATATAAGAACGAAGACTAATAGACTCCAGAATTTTTGAAAATTCTTATTTTTTGCTATAATTTCTTTTCTTTCAGGAAGCAGGAAACAATAATTTCCCATTTTCTTCTCATGACAACAGACATGACATATGCAATGCAGCTGAATATTTTGACTTGGTAAGTACCCAGCACTGAGACAAATCAAGCAACTTAAGATCTATTGGTCTGCCAGAGATTAATCAAAGCATCTTTTCTGTCCCCTGCAGAAAAAGAAAAATAGTTGCTAAAACTTGTGAGAAGAGAAAAATGTAAATAGCAAAGAAAAATACAGTTTTTATTAGTGTAGGGCTGGGACATCTTTGGGACTGTCACAGATGTGCAGCAGCACACACAGTCATTGAGAATTGCATGATTCAAAGAGAAGAAAAAAACATTATTTGGGTCTCTGACAGGCATTTTCTGATATTCCTGTTTTGGTTTTGAACTCAGTTAAATGTCCTATTAGTCTTCTCTAAGTGATTTGCCTTGTAATGAATCCTTGTAGAGATCTCAGCCACTTCTAATTTGCAGACTTAAATATTTTGTTCAGACTCATCTTTATCATAAATCTAGCCAAAATCCATAGGATACCCACAGTTTATCTCAAGAATGCATTCTTTTCCAACCCACATCTCTTTACAATACACCTGTTTAAATGCGTGCTGCAGAAGCCACAACTTTGACTAGAATTTAAATTGTTTTGGGCTTTTCTGTGTGGGCAACAGTTTCATGTTCTTCTATTCCCCTTAGATTGTTGATATTATTCCAGGCAGCAAAAGAAAAAGTGCAGTTCACAGGATAATGAGCAAAGAAGGAAGCAGTGAATTGTGATATAGGGAGTTTGTCTGACTTTGAGCTCTGTCAGGCCTAGACTTTTTGGAATTCATTATTCACTGAGTAACCTCAATTTCTGTGCACTTTGGGCAGTGTCTCATAGTTTCAGAGATACTGATCAACCATAATTCCAGCTAAATTTCCTGCGAGCTGTGGAGTGTGAAAATCAGGCTCTGTCTCTCAGTGTTTGGACACACAAGGGATAGCATTGAAGATTCAGATTTCATGGTCTGTCTCAGTTTCTTTATTGCAGTCCAAACCTAGAGTTATTAACCTATTTCTTTGGGTGCCTCTGAAGATTAATTTAGCCACGTGTAGCTAAATAGCCTTGAGTAGATGGCGTGCTACAGAAATGCAAAGTAAAAGTGGTTTATTAGCACTGAGAGGTGGAAGGTCAGCAGATTTTCCATTATATATGCAACCAAAAATGTTCATACAGGCAAGTCTGACAATATTATTTTTAACTTGTTAAAGATCAACCCTGAGTTCTTGCAATCACTGTGGTAACAGTTTCATTCACTTTACAGTGGGGTAGTGACTGTTACAAGATTCATCTGTGAAGCTGTGACTGGAAGTCATATGTTTGCATGAATTTTTCTTTCCTTTTTTTTCCTAGGGCATGGGCCTGAGGAAGCAAGATCCAGAGAAACAGAAACAGAACTCCCATAACTTCTTCGAGTGGGCTCGTGCACCAGGCAGGAGCAGCAGCGAAGGCTTTGTCACCGTTTACCAGACCTCGTTTGTGGCAGATCAGGCCTCTGGCAACGAGGGCTGCTGCTGCAGGCGCTATCCCAAACACCACACCCAAAAACAGTGCAGCAACCCAAAAGAGTGCTGTGACAAACCTGCTCCTGAGGATGACAGTGCCCTGCAGCCAGACAAGACAACTTAAGCAGCAAAACACCTCTGGAGCACTGACCAAGCAAATCTGAACTATTCACTACTCCAAACAATGGTGAAAGAATAAACATTTGTGTAAAGTGCACGTGGTAGTACAGCTGAGAGTTCATTGTGATCTACAACTTTACATTACTCTGAAAACATACATTACTAAAAAACCTTTAAAGAAGAGGAGCATTATGAGGAAAACCAAGATTGTGCATATTTTTAGACATACCTCTACTAGGAGAACAGAGATAGGGATTGTGCTTGAGTTACCTGATATTGGTTGACCCTCATCTTAATACAAAAGCTCCTTCAGCTTCTGAATCAGTGGCAGGCCTGTACCCCAGGCAGCTGACAGCACCTGTATTGACACAGGAGCATAATGGAACTAAATCCTCAAGGGATTGTCACAGCAGGGAGCCAAACTCCTGTGTGCTCAGGTCAGAGAGAAACATTCCTGAAAGGTTTCATGGCTGAGAAGGCAGGTGATCAGCCATTAGAGAAAGCAGATAAAAAAGAAGCTGTGCATTCGATTGCTGTGCAAAATAATTGTCCTGTTTGGTTATAGCTCAGCAGTTGTAGAAGTGAAAAACAGTGTTGTGAACAACATCTGTGCACTCACAAATTTGATTCATGGCTATAAGGGGGGAAAAGAACTCGAGCTGAGATGGAAGGCTGCATGGAGGTTTGGGTTTGGGATGGAATGGATCTTAAAAGAACTAATTTTTTAGTTACATGTTCCCCCAGGAAGAGAATTCAAACCCAATCCTCCAAGCATTCTGCTCCCAGAATATTCACTGATGTTAGGATGTGGCAGGCAGTAGAGTCAGACATCCAGATGATGTGTTTTCCTCTTCTGGATCATTTCCATTAATATCAATAAAATAATGAGCTAAACTGTGTGTCTTAAAATATCCTGCAAATAAGCTTGTTGCTATGCAAAATAATGTTGACAAAAAATAAATCAATCATAAGTTGATGAGATAATTTCCTTTATTTACAAGATAAATGGAAAAATAAACCTTTGACCCTTAGAATTCCCTGCATTGCAAGAGCTGCCTTGACCATGAACTCAGTTAAGAAATGACATTTCTGCCTTTAGGTGAACAGATGCATTTTTTGGTATCAGCATGCAGCAGCTGATGGTCTTTTTGTGTGCCATCAAAATAGATGGGATTAGATTCCCCAAACGTGTAGCAGATTTATTAGTACATGTTGAAATAATGAACTCATTTTTTTCATGGAGTTCTCCCTGTTAGAGTTCTTGGGGTGCTGCACAATACATCAAAATCCAAAACATCAATGAACAATGTAAAACCAAATAAAAAGCCAAGTAACATAGTGCTATTAAAAAGAATTGCTTTTTCTCGAAGTAAAGACAGCCTGCCTGACAGCTCCAGAGTCAGAATTTCCAGAGCTTTAGCCAACAACTTCATCCCCAGACTGATTCAGAACTGAAGTGTGTGCCAATCACATGGTGAATGAAGTGCCCCATGCTGTTTGGCAAACTCCAAAGGGCAATCTTGGACCTCCATCAGAAGGAAGGAACACATTCTTGCTCCATTAGTAATGTTTATCTGTGGTTTAGCATTACAACTGGATGTGGTGAAATAAATTGCTGTAGTTTGTTATGCCTTAAGACACCAATAGAAACACTCCAGATTTATTTTTTCCACCTCCTTTTTTTTTCTTCTCATTCTTGGTTAAAGTGTGGATTAAAAAAAGAAAAAAGTACCTGTGAACTAATACATATTTTTCAACTATGTTGTAATAAAGATTGCAGAGGAGAAACTGAAGAGACCATGAAACCCTTATAAGCTCAAATACACTGGGTTGAAAAAACAGGTGATTCCCACATACCTCATGCTCTGCCAGTGTTTCTTGGGTAAATAACTGGAGACACACTACACTGAATTTGGAAATGAATAATGAATTCCTCAGATAAATTTGTCTACTTTGGATAGAAACCGTTTGTTTACTCTTGTGATGATAATGTCTCTGTGAAGAAGGTCCTATTGAATTAAAACATTTTTGAACATGCTTTTTTTGGTTGTTTGTTTCCTTGGGAATGGAAGAGATTGAAATAAGGCTGGTAACTCTCCTAAAATTTTCTGGTCAGTGCAGGAAAGTGCTCCTGGCTGGGAGTTTATTGGGATCAGATGGGTGTAGGTAGGCTCAGCAGAATGAGCATACTGTGGGTTAAATCAGCCAAATACTGTTGTAAGGGCTGCTGATAAGGATGGACTTATTTTGTTCATTGCTTTATTTAAAAAAAATCAAACCCAAACACTCTCTTTACAGAAACAACAGCCTTCATCCTCTAATCCTTTCCTAGGAGTATTGTTGCCCTGTTTTTTTTCTCCTGAGTCTGCATCAATGTAGGGCTGTCAATACAGCATTTTTAGGAAATATTTTTATGTTAATTTCAAAGTGTTTTTTCAGTGTGTTACTTAAATTCACAGAACTCAAACAAAATCAATTTTAAGAAGTTAAACCAGAGGACTGCCCCAGCTCCCCACATCTCCACGAGGGTTTGGACAGCACTCTCAGGCACGGAGTGGGATTCTTGGGGTGTCTGTGCAGGGCCAGGAACTGGACTTATGATCCCTGTGGGACCCTTCCAGCTCAGGATATTCAGTGATTCTGTGATTGACAGAGCTGAGCTGAAGAGTAACAGCTTTGCCACTGAAGTTTCCATGCCCTGGTTGAGGCAGGCTTGGTTCTCAGGTGGAGCTGTGCCAGGTGACAGTCTTGTGCTTGTGTCTGCAGTGTTATGTTCACTTCTTTAAATTGTGGGGTTTTTTTCCTTCTTTCCCTCCTGCTTGCTGATAACAAGATGTGAGGACATGGTCTCCCTCAAAGCTGCTGTTGCTCAGCCCGTGATGCCCTGTTAAGCTGGATGTCACCTTTTACAGCTGTGTCATTTGTGAGGTGTTGTGACCAATAAAAGGCTGTTTACAGTCTTTAGAGACCCTGGTGTTCTAAGAGAACAGATTGAGGTTGGTACAATAGGAGACAAAACGGAAATTTTGTCTTTTGTTTACTTGGTGTCTAAAGACTTAAAGAAGTCCTTAAAGCTGGGACTTTAAAGTGGGGAGCACTGGAAGGGGGAATTCTGCTGCTGCTGGAGCTGGTAGTTCAGTGGGGATGCAGCAGTTTGACTTCCAAGTCATCTGCTGTTCATCTAATCACTGTGTTCATAATCTCATCACTCCGTGTAGCTGAAATGTTCCTTAGCTTGTGCTTTCAAGGTTAGAGTGAAGTAACTTCATGAGGATGTGGCACTGGAGATGAGTCCATTTCCTTCCCTGTGCTGCACAGTTACACAGTGACAATTCTGTCCCAGCTCTGTCTCAACCCAAAGCTGATGCTCATTTATTTACAGTGATATAGTTCATGTCTGGATGATATTAAGCTTCTTTAAATACTCTTTCACTGGTTTAGCATTTCCATAACTGAGGAAAATATTGATGTGACTGTGGTGGTGCTGATGTTGAACCAAGAATACAGACCTGTGTTTAATGAAGTGTTTATGTTGATACACTGGCCATGCTGGTTGGCAAGAAATGACATTTCTGAAATTAAGTAGAAAATTCTTAGGCATCTCTATCTGCAAGCCACAGTACACAAACTTTATTACTATTATTATTATTATTATTATTATTATTATTATTATTATTATTGCTATTATTATTAATTCTCTCCTGCTGCTAATACATTATCTAATGAGCAGTAGATGGCAAGGACAGAGACCCATTCCACTCTGGGGTGGGAAAGAACTATATAGAGCTGCCTCATCACCAATTTCTTGGTTTATTCCTGCCTCCCCAACCAAGTAATAAAATAACAAGCTGTTAAAACATTGTCTGTGGAATATCAAATTAAAGGGAAGTCCATTCAGCAGGGAAGCAATCCTAACTGACCTTAAATTGGATGTTTAGCCATAGTGGGTATGAGTGAACCAGTAAAACACCCAATTTATGATTTGGACAGGCAGCTGCTTTTATGAAAAGAATGTTACCTCTTGTCTGGTCAAGCTTGTTATTTCTTCATTATATTCACCTGAAAGTGAAGTATTTCAAATTACCGTTTTTGAAATTTGGTGTACAGGAAAAAAAATGTAGCTTGAAACAGGTAAGTTTAATTCAAACAGAAGGAAAGAAGTGCTCGGAGGAGGAGACCTCTGGGACTGCAAGGACTGGAACTCAGGAATTCGGGAATGCCTGCTCCCAGGTGAGTGCCCAGCCCCCTGAACCAGGGAAATCCCTGTGCTTTCTCACAAGGCCAGTGTTTAACTATTGCAAACAAAATGCAGCAGCTCTGGCAGACCAGGTAGAGGGTGGTGGTTTTCCAGGCTGCCTGAACCAGTTCAGAAAATCAGAAGAATTTTAGGAATACCTTTTCTTTTAATTCCTTGCTGTGGGGCATGTGGAAATAGTGCTCATAGAGCATTACTCTGATAGCAACGAGTATGTATTTTTGTAATCCTTTTCAATATTCTATGGAATGAGAGACAAATTCTATAACTCAAACGATGCTATGAAAATAGATTTAGAATTAAGATCTCCTGTCCCTCTCTCACCCCACCACCCCCAAAAAGGAAGGTTGTGTTTAGACTGCCCAGCACGTTCCAACACCTACAAATGGCAATGTTAATAAGCAAAGAGAGCAGCACAAGTGTCAGCTCCTGTGCCCAAATATAAACTGTTGTGGGCTCAGGCCCTATGGTATTAACCAGACACTCGTGCCCCAAATGGCATTGTAGGCATGCATTAATGACCCTAAGTGGCAGACCTCCTCATCTTATTGCTTAATTAATCAATGGCCCAAGTGGCACATTGTCGGGGCTCTTTTTCAAGCTGTGTCTCCCCTCACAGGTTAATTAGATGCTATATGGTTCTGTCTACATATGGGAAAGCCAAACCCAATAAATAAAGTTTAATTTCCTGATTCCCTTGGGATATACTGATTCTTTTTAACAGTGCTTCTTCAGCTGAGTTGAAATTAAAACCCAGCATGATCAACATATTGTGGAATATTTCATGGGATGAGTTAAGCACCAGGTTTAAAGACTTAAAGAAAAAGGACTGGAGGGGAAGA